AAATACTTTTTGTTAATACTAATTTTTTCTACGTTTAGTTTTAATATTATATAATATGAGATATATGAGTTTGTGACTTTTCAGTTCGTCACCTTTGTAAGTTAATAGAAGAATTTTTGAGCATTTACTGTAAAAAGTGTGAATTATTTTTATACATTTGTTGCGTGTTTTATTTAAGATAAAAATTTACAATTAATAATTTAATTTTCCACCTATATATTTGTTTATTGTTTAAGTCCTATTTCACATAAAAAAAACGCTTATTTTAAAGTCTTCTATTTCCCTTCAAAATTTGTCGGTCTAATTTTTTAACATCTTATATTATATATAAAAAAATATGAAGCAGAGTTAACAAGTATATTGTCGTTAAAATGAACTTATATAGTACTTATGACACGTACGTATTAATAAATTAAGATCACTTATCCGTTGTTATCATCTTCTAATAGAAACTTTTTCACTATCAACTAATACATGATAATGTTCACAATCAGATAAAAACTGTAAATACATTACACAATAATATCATCGAATCGTGAATTATATTTTAATTACAAACAAGATCGCATCTTGACTAAACTTGATTATTGATATTTAAAAAAATCTATAATTTTATTTAAAAAGAAGAAAAATGAAAATTTCATTACGTATGCATACAATTTTATAAGAATACTTCCTAATATATTACATAATTTATAATTATTCAATTATAAATTGTTATTACGAAAATTTGTTTTCTTAAAATTCCAAGTAAAAATTATATAATTTCTCTTCCTATTATATTGTTACATTTTAAAAGACAGCTACAAAAGATAATATAATATTTATTTTCTTTTTACTTTTTAAACAAGAAGAATTAAAAGGGATCAAAACCTTTGCGACTTATTTTCTTTATATCTTATCTTTCTTTCTTTCGTCTTTAAACTCGGTGCACCTATATTAAAATTATTAGATTTATTTTAAATTATTTATATTAGATAATTTATTCAATTATAAACTTTAAGCAACAATTATAATTAATTCTCTTATTTACATCATTATTACATATTAAAAGACAACAAAGATATTTTCTTCTCTAAACTAGAGCATATAAGAATATAAATTTAATTCCTTTTTATTTTTTATAAACAAGAGAAAAATTAAAGGGAACAGAATCTTCGCGAGAGATTTATTACAGTATTGTTTTCTTCATATCTTATTCTTATCTTTCTGTTCTTCGTCTTTAAAAACTCGGAGTAAAAAAATTATTATTTTTCTTCATATTTACATTATTGTTACAATTTTAAAAGACAGCTAAGATAATATTTTTTTTCTCTAAAAAGCATGTAAGAATATAAATTAATTTTCTGTTTATTTTTTATAAACAAGAGAAAAATTAAAAGGAGCAGAATCTTTGCGAGAGATTTATTACAGAATTGTTATCTTATTCTTATATTTCTCTTTTCTTCGTCTTTAAACTCGGTATATTCTTTCTCTCCAGAGAATAATAATTATTGTCCCAAGAGAGCAATCGAAACTTCTCCATCCTTACCTCGATTAAGGGAGAAGAGGCATCGAGAGACAATTAACTATAGTCACGACTATAATCAGTGTTGTGCTTAGATGATTTTAAAATTAGCTAGATAAAGATGAGATAAAAATATGTAAGTTCATCTTAGATAAGATGAAGATGATTTTATTATAAATATATCTAGATAAAAGATAAAATTATATGGCGATTTATTTAGATAATTTTCTAAATAATAATTTTTAAGATTGCTTATGTAAGCACACACAGAGAAAATTTTCTCTTAGAATTTACCCTGAAAATCAAGTTTTCTGAATAATATTTATCACAATAAAAATATTAATATCTACCACAATAAGATATAACATATAACTCGATTAATTTTGTTATGTACATAGTAAAATTTACTATATACCTATTATATTTTTTATTATGGTAAATATTAATCAGAGAAACTCTTATAAAATTCTCTCCATGCAGTTATAACAAAATGTAAATTATAAAGAATATAAAAATATATGTATTCATATTTTTATTTATAAATTTTTATCGCTTATTACTGTTTAAGTATTTTTATATGCTACGATTTTAAATCAAAATTATCTAAAAATTATTCTATAAGATAATTTAGCACAAAGATAATCCTTTTTTTCACCTAAGATGCAGATATAGCTAATCCATATTTTTATTATCTATATAAAAATAAGATGACGCCAAAGTTTCATCTAGATGATCTCATCTATAATTTTATTTAGATAATAGCAAACACTAAAAATATATATATTCTTATTTTTATTTATAAATTTGTATCGCTTACTGTTTAAGTTCTACTATTCAAGGTATTTTTATGTGCTACGATTTTATAAATCAAAATTATCTGAAAATTATTCTACAAGATAATTTAATAACGATAATACTCTTTTTTTTTCACCTAAGATGCAGATATATATAGATACTCCATATTTCTATCATCTACCAAAGTTTCATCTAGATGATCACCTATATATAATTTTATTTAAATAGCACTATAGTCACGACTGTACAACACACATATATAGGTGTCTGGCGCAAAGATGAAACGTAATTCCTCGTAATTGGCGCGAGGGTTAAGGTCGTACGTGGCGGCCTTGAACGATCGGCGTCGATCGGACGGCGGCGTGCTGCGGGAGCCGATCGCGCTCGCCAAAAGAGCCGCGCGCGCGAGAGATCGTGTGTACACGAGGAGAGTGTCGCAAGCGGTGCGATGGCTGGCTGCGATTCTCGGTCACGAGTGCACGCTCGCCGCTCGCCTCTGACAGTGCGCTCCCGTCGCCGCCGCTGTCGCCGTCGTCTCCGCGAAGCGTCTCTCGGACGATCTTGGGCGTCGCGACGTCGGCGACGCCGTCTCTCTCTCTTTCTCTCTCTCTCTTCTTCGCGTCTACATCTGGTCCCTCTCTCTTCTCCTGAAATCGTTAGCGTCGCGACGCGGCTTTCCGCGCCCGGAGAGGAACTCTCTCTCTGTTTCTCTCGCGCGAGAGAAAACAGTGTCGTCGGGGATTTCTCGTATGGAAACCGGACGACGAGAAGGTGACGTTTCTCTCCTTTACGAGTAGTGTAATTCTCCCCAGTGCGTATCGGCGCGATATATACTCTCTTTGCGTACTACGTATTATTATAGAGGATTAGTGTCGCGACTAGATCAGCTCGTGAGAAGATTCCGAGGGAATATTTATATCTCGAGAGTTTCCCCAAATCGCGGATCTTCTTCCTCTTCTTCTTCGTTCATTGTTGAAGTTCATTAATATTGCTGGAAAAAATTTATTCAGTTCGAATAAATATTTATTTCAATACTGCCTAATAAAAATCATTGATTTGTAACTAATTATATATTGATTTGATAAATATGATTATGATATGAAATATGATTAATTTCAAATTATTGATTTGCAACTAATTATATTGATTTAATGTGACAAATATTTATTTGTTTCAAATTTATTAGGCGGTTGAAATAATTGTTTATTAATTGAATAATTTTTTTTTCAGTGTACCTATATGTGCATGAGATAAATAAAATTCCACACGTACAAGAGCGACAAGTTTACGATCGTAAAAAAAATTGTTTATTCATTGAAACATATACATGTTTTTATTTATTATTATTGGAGAAGGTACTCTGCACTCTGTAACAAAATTATTAACTTGTCTAAACCTTTCAACTAAATTATTATTTTATTAGATTTGTTATGTAATATGTTATATTTAATTTAAATATTTTTATATGTTTAATTAACAAAATAATATTTAGTTGAAAGATTTAGTCGTTAACAATTTTTTTCAATACATCGTTATAAAATTAAATAAATTATGTCGAAAGAGAAAGTAAACTAATGAACCCCGGTAATTATATTGTACATACATAGGATAATTATGATTAATTCATATAATGTATTAATATATAATACACATTTTATATTAATACATTATATATAATTATTTTATTATAAAAACATCTATATATATAATTAATCAAATATAATTATCAATCAAATATAATTAATATTAATCAAACAATATTAAAAAATCTTAAAGTTTATTCCAGATATATAAAATTTAATCGCGATGTATAAAAAAATCTAAAAAATATTTTCAATTCGAAAAATATTTTAATTGGCGACGATTTATTCGTTATCAGTGTTAATCACATTAATTACGTCACGTCAGATGTCGAAAGCTCGGTATTCGGAAATATTGAATCACAAAACACCGCGTGACAGCTAGTGATATAAGAAAATAATATTTACTCTCTCATCGCTTTCATCGAGCAAAAAAAAAAAAAAAAAAAATACTCGCAAGTGCGAAATGTCGGAGCACAAAGACTTGCGGCAGCTTTTTCTAATCTTGGATAAGGAGTCCACTTCTCTCTCTTTTTTCCTTCCCTCCTCATCTCGCCCAGACATCCCATTCCATCGACTTATTTTTATACATACGTCCGCCTTTTCGCGCGTAAACTATTCGCAAGAGAACTGTCATCGTTGTAAATAGATATCGTAGAGCGTAACATATCCGCCGACCCACATTTCAATGATTGCACCCCAATTTTGTTCCCCCAAAGATTGTCGTGTAAAAATTCTCAATTAAATGGAGAAACTCAAATCTATATTCGCAAGTCGCGTCTTTCACATTTTTTCAGAAATAAATGATTCGCATTGATGGATTTCACGTCGATGTAAAACCGTGAGGGATTCGATTGAATACTTAAAGAAAGGAGAGAGAGAAAGAAAATCGACGCGTTTTCCCTCGAGCATCCGCGGAATATTCTCGGGCATGCACTCGGGGATGCACTCTCAGGTGTCGGCGAGAAGAAAGCGGATATTCCCGATGGATCGTGAAATGGTGAATCGGCTGTTCGACAGCCGCGGTGTGTGATCGAGAGACTCGCTTCTCGTCGCGCGAGAGAAGAGGGAGAATTTCGCGAATGCGAGAATCATGTTGCGTCTCGACGTCGTCGCGAGACTCTTTTTCCTGGGGCGAATCGCTCCTGTGCTGTGCCGATAGTGAATTATTCCCTTTCCGGGCGGATCATTGTTCCGGATATACTACATCCAGCGCGCTGGAATGCAGAGTAAGATGCAAACGTTCAGCGGTCTCGCCTTCGGGAACGTGTTCAAGAAAAAGGCAGGTTTCCCACAGAATTGCTGTCCCGAACGATTTGCGTTCGCTCATTCAATATTAAGGAATTTCAAATTCGTAGCCGTCCGCGACGTGACGAATTTATTTTTGTCTGGTACACTGAGAAAAAATTTACTTCACTATGCCTTTTAACTACATTATTATTTTGCTCATTTAATATATTTGTATTTAAGTCAAATATATATATATATATATATTATTATTTAAATATTTTTATATGTTTAATTAATAAAATAATATTTAATAACATAAATGATATTTTAAATCGGCCAATAGAGCCCAAAGCGCGAAAATTAATTTTTTGGAACTGTATCTCTTGGTAAAATAATATTTAGTTGAAAGGTAGTCAAGTTAACCAATTTTTTTCGGTGTGCAAATGTAGAATAAAAACATTGCGAGTTCCTTTATTATATTTTTATTTTTTCTATTTTTTGTACACTGAAAAAATTGTTAACTTGACTTTTTAACTAAATATTATTTTTCAATTAAATATTATTTTGTTAATTGAATTTATAAAATATTTAAATTAATTGATTTAAATACTAATATATGTTGATTTAACGAAATAGTAATTCACAATCAGTTGAAAGGTTTAGTCAAGTTAACAATTTTTTTTCAGTGTATGGATATATGCTTTATATTTTTATCTAATATAGTGTTCGAGTTTTATGAAAGAAAATAATTTTTTTATTAAAGAAATGAAATGTTACCTTTCTCATGAAGGTAACATTTTATTTCTTTAATAAAAAAAATTATTTTCTTATTATTTTCTTCTAAATTATTATTGCGCGTATACTTTCTGGAATATTAACTCTTTTATTTGTTCTTGTTCGATATTAGCGTGCGATAAATGCAAGATTTCTCTTGATATTTATATATCAATACTTATCAAACTTGTCTGATAACGATGATTAAGATATCTAACAACTTTTCAGCATAACACGCTAGTTTTGATTGCGCAGGATAAGTATTTATAGATAAGTGCGTATATAATCGATATCGAGAATGCGCATTACTTTTATAACGACGTGTCGAAAAGAGCATTATATACTTGTGTTAAAGTACAAAATATCTCATTACATTTAATATATGACTCAAGTATCAAAGATTATTGCGTTTCAATCAATGAATCTATCGAAGGCCAAAGATCGGTGACTTCTAAACTCGCGTTTTAATCTTCGTCTATATAAATTAACATATTAAAAAAAATTAAAAAAGTTAATTTTAAATCTGAATCTGTATATATGTATATTTAAAACTCAACTTATAATTAAGTATATTAATTACGTATGAAGATAATTCTTATCACGTTGTTTTGCTCTCTTACTTTTATCATTTTATTTTATTTCTATTTTAATATTTTATTATTACATTTCCATTTTTATTATAAATTTATTTCTACATTTTAATTTTATATTATTATTTGAAAGTATGAAAAATATTTAAAAATAACTTATTATGCAACCTATTTACATTAATGACAAGTATAGAAATCAGCTTCGTATTTTAATTTTAACACAATTATAGGTCCATGAAAACATCATGCGATACATTATATATTATGTATTTTATTCGCATTTAATTAAAAGAATTAATATACCTGAAAGAGAAGTGAGATTGCTGTCACACAACTCAACGAGGCAAAAAATAGAAATCGACATACTGATTAGGGATCAAACCGTTAAAAACGATGGCAGCTCTATATCAAACGGCGCTTCGCATATAATCACTCTCTTTTATCACAACTGACATCGCATTCATACGAAATAATGAATGGCCTCTGATGAAAACGAGAAGTGCCATTAGAAAGATGAAAGATGCAGAATGCTATTTTGCAGTCCCTCGAGCATGGAAGTTCTTGTTAGACTAGAGGCTTGTAATAGCTTGTAATCTCTGACCGTGAATTTTAATACCGATCGACCTCTTCTCCTGCAAAAGCCATTCATTACAAGCCATTATTCGCTTATACATATAAAACCAATCAATCGGCCGAGACTTAATTTACTTCAAACTGTATAATAACTGCTGCAAAAGGTACGATGACAGTTTATCGACACGCTATACATATATATTGCCGAAGGTAAATACGGTAATTGGTGCCTTGTTACACTCTTGGCTTCAAAATTAATTATTACCGAAAGCTACATTCAAAGTTTACATCCTTGATAATCCGGGGGAATTTTTTTCACGGAGAAGCATGTTTATTTAAATTTTGAATTACAGTTTAATTCTAATTTAGTTATTTATATATTGTGGCGTTTCTGAAAACAATTTTCATGGATAAAATAGTCTCTTTTATTACTTGTTGGATAATAAGCTTTTTACATTACGAAAGATAAGGCATTGTCCGATAAAGGTTTATTATACATCACTTCGTCATAAAACGACTTATGCATATTGTTCACTTGTGGCGCGTTTTACGAGTTTTTAAATTCTCTCTCTCTCACACAATCATTATAAAGGTAGATAGCAGATTTCACTGAGAGACGATGCATTGTATCGCCTTCTTTGTTCATCAAACGTACAATGTTCGCACATGCATGCTCCTCTGAAGATATAACAGCAAACAAACTCACTCCTTTATATGAGTGACGGTGTAAACTTATAATAGTTCATTAGACCGTGATTTCCATCTATTTTTATTCGCAATCTGCGGACACATGTTGCGCTTTATTAACACTCTTTTATTATTATGCATTTAACTTACCTACATAGTACCTGTCATAATGCTGCGCAGATGCGTTATTGATTGCGTTCAATATTTTTCGTGACGAACCCATATGCAGTAGAAAAATTTGTGCTTTCTTGTTAAAAACGGTCCCCGTTAAAATTTTTGTGTTAATTATTTAACACGTTGTTAATTTAACATATTGCTGTTGTGTTAATTGAACTTAAATGTTAAATTATTAAAACAACTGTCAATTATTAAAACAATTTTACACAATAAATATATTGTTTTATTAGAGACAAAATTTATCTATTAAAATTTTTATTTTATAATATAAGTGGGGATATCTTTACATATTTTTAGTTAATTTTTACATTCATACTATGTTAATTTTGCACAAAATTTATTTTAAATTATTTGAAGTTTTGCATTGATTTTGTGTTAAAATATTGACACAGTATTTGTGTCTTCATTTAACATATCCGTATCATGTTAAATTAACACAAAAATTTCTGTGGGCCGTTATTTGGGACACGTGATATCTGTCAAATTTTTCAACTGTGTAGCTTCGCGCAAAATAATTCCGTGGAAAAGAAAACTTGAAATTATATAAGAAAGAATTAATTTTTGTAATTCCTCAATTAATTACAATTCTCTAATCCTTGAAACTACATAACTTGGCGAATAAATTACACTTTTTTTTTTTATTATAATTTAAAGAGAAAATCCGTCAGTTATTTTGTAATAGCTGACGGATTTTTAGTGGAAGACTGTAGGAAAAAAATCGGTGATTGTTAATTAGATATTCGATGTTGCGCATGAGAACTCCGAAAGCGGAACGATCGGGAAAGTGAGCGAAGAAAGCTCGCGTAACTAGTAACTATATACTTCAGTCGGTTTGTAATAAAGCTGCCATGCGAGAAGAAGGGTATTTGATTGGAATCATTACGGGACGTTCATTTGTTCGGTCGACTTAACTGCAATCCGGGATAAAAAGTACAAGACATTTGTGTTGTTAGCGACTTTTCTCGCTCGTTCGAATAACCCACTTTGTAACTGCGATCAAAGACGATTAAAAGGAACGCTGTTTGTTCACGTGTTTTTTTCCTCTGTCGCAAAGTTCATGGCCGCATCTGCTAATAACGAGTAAAATGATCGGGTAATCGTAAACACGTATATAATATCTATTTTGCACATGTAGGGAGATTTATTTATTTCTTTTATTTCATTTTTTCTCGAGCACTTGATTTATTTTAGCAAAACGAAGCGTTAAATATATAAGTATTTATGCGTAAATAGAAACAATTTTTTAAATTCCATCAAAAATAATTAAATAGATTGAGTATTTCGTAATGAATATTATCACGTACTTTGATTCGGAAAGCACACTCGACAATTTATTTGTGCTTCGATGTTTTTATTTAAAAAAAAAAAAATAATTTTACATCGGCTAAACAGCTTCATCACGCAGGATGTGGGCGTGAATTTATAGACACCTTCTCCAGTTCTGATGTTATAAAGAGATCACGTACACGTGCAGCTTTTTTCTTGTACCGTATATGCATCGCCGATACATGGAGGTCGACGTCGCTTCCTCACGTTCCATTTATGTAACGTTAATCTGATCAGCGAGCTATCGCATGCGATCGATCGTTCACCTGCGGCCAGTTCGAATTAATAGGAAGACGAGTTACCCTGCGGATTAAGTCCGCTAGTCATCGCTGTCTGTTCTGATTTAACTTACTTTGAACCTGCTTGATTCAGCTTTAAGTAGATTATTTGGGCTCATTAATTAAACATCTACAGCTAAATTTATAAAGAATATTTTTATACGTAGAAATAGGTCGAAAAGGATTGAGAGACTCTTCATTAGAATATCAGTTTTTTATTTAAAGTTATACTTATTGTGATATGTTAATTTAATTATTTTACAAATTTCATATATTGTTATATTTCTAATATTTTTGTAAAAAATTTTTTTCAAGATTTCTATGCTAATGTGTTCATAATATATTTCAAAATTTGAAAATTCATAATTAAAAAAAATTCTCCAATTCACATCTTTAAAATCAATGATTTTTCAATGAAATATTATTCTTCATGATATTTTATTCAGAATGTTGCAAATTAAAAATTTACATTTAAAATAAATTCTCAATTAAAAAAAAAAATAAACCATATTCAAATTTTCCACAAATTAAATATCTTTCTTTAATAACAATTTTATATAAATTCGATATTTCAAAATTTACGAATGTTTTAAAATTAAAAATTTAATAAAAAAAAGAACCCTTTTTATTAATCCTCGTCAAATTCTAATATTTTTTTCATTTCCCACAGGCAAACAAGATGACCGGACCTCCGGTGGGCAACGCACCGCCTCCACCTACACTCATAAACAAAATTAAGTACCAACCCGGCGGACCTGTAATCAAAAAGGATAAACGGCAGAGCAGCTCGAGGTTCAATATATCGAAAAATCGGGAATTGCAGAAATTGCCGTTGTTGTCCGGTAAGTTCATTATGAAATATTTCACGAAACATACACATTAACTCCAAACTTGGCAGTGCATTCTATATGCATTTCTGTTTTTCGCTGCTTATATTCGCAAGTTCTTGTTTACATCTAAACTAATCTAAAGCATATTTTTAAATCGATAAATAAATATGAATCACATTTCTCGTGTTGTGTACATATATATTGTAATTAAATATATTATTTATTACATATATAACATATAATACATCGTTAGTATACTTTCTATTTGAGAAAGTGTATTCCTAAAGACAGAGATATTTTTTAAATTTAGTTATTGCATGTGTTTCGTAAATTTTATATTTTCAAAAATATTTTCCTTAGTTTCGCCAAGTTTAGGGTTCAATTCTTTGTATAATCCTATTAGAAACTCAATATATAATGAGGGATTATTATTTAAATAATATATACAAATAATATAGAAAACACACGGGTACTTCGTTTATTATTTCCATTAAATAAAACCAACTAATTGATGACTTGAACTCGATGCTCTTGTTCTACAATGTAATAAAAAAAGTTTAGCATACACTATATATTTCTTTGACGCATGACGTATATCCCATTATACTCGTGCAATTGCTTGTAAACAACTTTGAGAATCTGAAATCGACTCGACCTGAAGAAACCGTTCCACAAGAAACTAATATACATGACTATAACTGGACAATTAGTTCAGGGCAAAGAGCAGGCAAGCGGCAAATGAGCGTGGAGAGACGCGCGTATCACGTAAGCAAACAAACAAACCGAGGAAGATGGATAAGACACGAAAACGAGAGATCGAGAAAAGAAGAGAAGAGAAGAGGACGACAAATCGGGTCCTCTCCCTGTCCTTTCCCAATGTAATGCCGGTCAATCGAGGTTGTGCCGAGAAGTACCTCCTGCGTCAGAGTCTATCGATTTGTGGGGGTCGCGCACGCGCCGGCAGAGGGACTCGCGGTTCCCCGTTTTTCCAACGTAAACAGAACATCCTCCGTGTACCGCCATTTCCAGCATCCCTCGGCGAGATCTCTCTTCTCCGGAACCCGCACCCTCGTATCGCGAGGGAGAGGGAGCTCCACCTGGCTGCGGCTCCACCTGCACGGTCTCTCCCTCCAGGAGAGTGCGAAGGGGAGTGTTTCAACCCCGTGACCGATCGAGAGATGACCCGCGAGATCCTGGCGAGGACCGGCGAGAGTTCATTGACCGCCGGTGCCACTTAGGCGAATCTCCCTGCCATCGCCCTCTCTCTCTCAATCCCCCCTTTTATCCTCCCACCCTCCTCTTCCCCACCTCCCGTTTCTCGCGAACGCGGTCACCGGGTTCCGGGGAGTCGCGAGAATGCGCCGCCTAGTGCTCGCCGGTGTTTCATAGGGGTGGCTTCGCAGCGCGGACACCCCGAAGAGAGGAAAAGCTGGCCGGAGAGGAAGGCTGGCTGGCTAGCTCGCCTTTCCCTGGTCGATCGATTGACGCGGACGAAGCAACAGATTGTTGCGAGCGTTAAACAACGACGGGAAATTATAGCCGGTCGCCGGGCTCTCCTTGTCGCGAATCTGTGAAAGGGAGCCGATTAAGGGCGAACGCGAAGAGACTATCTTGAAGCTCTGTGGAGGATTTTGAAGACGCTGATCTGGGAGCGGGATTAGTGGGGATACCTGTGATTGGATAAATTGCATTTAAAAAGTTAGGGATTTATTGGAGAATAGCGAAGAGACCATTTTTAAATATTAATATAGTTCTCTCTGGCGAATCTGGTTGATAGGTGACTTTCCGGTCGAGCAAGTGAATTTTGTAATTTGAAAGGTTTATAAAATAAATTTGTGTGATTGAATAATTGCATTTAAAAAATTATGGATTGTTAGAGAATAGGGAAGAGACAATTTTTAAATATTAATATAGTTCTCTTTGGCGAATCTGGTTAAAAAGTGACTTTCCGGTCGAGCAAGTGAATTTTTTGTAATTTAAAAGGTTTATAATAGTTGGTGAATTTTGTGGTTTAGAGAAACAATTTTGTGAGCAAGTGGAAAAATTATTTAAGAGCTCTATATAAAAAAGTAATAACACAGTCATTTAAATTTGAATGTTTAATACTCAGATACTACGCGAAAAATTGTGTGTTAATTAAAAAATACAAGACTGAAGATTCATGGATTTTGCAATTTTGACAAATTTAATTTATTAAATCTAGTAGAATTATTAATGAGTTAACGAGATCGAAAAATTCACGTTTATAAATTTGATCAATCTCAGTAAAATATAATTATCGGCTTAATACATTAATTAGAAAATAAATATTTAAATAGTTACAGATTGAATCGAGTTTGTTAATTGACAGAAAATATTTTTCAAGAATCTTACATATAAAATTCACGTTGCTTCGTATATTTAAAAATTTTACATTACATTCGCTGACGCTCGAGATATCAATTTTTTTTGCGCGAAAATATTCTCGCAAGGTGCTGGTAACAAGCGCGATTCACGTTGGTTTACTTTTAAAGTACAGTTACGTTTCTGCATGGTTTGGCAAAACAAAGTTACGCGTGCGTTTCTTTTGCGCGATGCTGAAATGCTGAAAAAATAACGTGTGAAATGAGAAGTTAGTAGGGAGTAAAAGTGATTTGTCTCGAAGGTCGACAATCGACGGCCTAATAAAATATCGAATAGCGGATAATGAAAAATAAAAACACTCTCCCGGAAATTGATTTCCGTACGAATCAAATCCGTAAAAAAAACCAGGGACAAATTTAACAGAAAATAATAGAAATACATACATATATATATATATATATATATACATTTGATAGTAAATAATAATATTTACAAACTCAATTACATATCACACACATCAGTAGTCGTCTATAAAATTTCAATCTAACACAACGAAAACTGTCCTGGAATAAATTGAAGAGCAAAATCGCGGGAAGGCAAGAGAGAATATTATTGATCGCGACTTTGACATATCAGAAGACCAATCCCGGTGAATGTGTTTATGTACGCGTGTATGTATATGTATATGTGCGAAATATAAAAGTGTTGCAAATTGTGTTATAAAAAAAAGAAGATATATATATATATACTATATAGAGAGAGAAACGGATTTTTCTCCGTTGCTCAGTCAATTCGACATCCTCGAAGAGACTCCGCCAATGAATAAGGCGCGAGTATAAAATAACAAAAATTCTCTCCGACACACGTATACATAATATCGGCGCAATGGTTCATGTCGGCGGAATTAGCCCATCTCTGGGTGGTGCTCTGCCCAAAAGTCCCAGCTTTCATCAGGGTCTTGCCTTGGCGACGGTGTTGCCTCCAGACCCGAGCAAGGGTTACCCGGTGACCTTCGCGCTGCACTATCAACCCTTGCAACCTCTTCTAAATGGTAAAGTTTTCCAGTTTTTTTTTCTTTCGTTTCAATCAGTTTTGCGAATTAAATTGCACATTTTTATCACAAAATTATTAATATAAATAATTAATTATTGTACAATAAATATTATGAATTTTAATTATATTTCTTAATTATTATATAATTAATTAGAATTAATTACATACGTATAATAAAATGTATAATTTAAATAATGAATTATTTAACTTATAAATATATTATCGATTCGCTATTAATGGAATAAGGATTTATATCTTGACACACAGATATACGAAGTATAAAATGAATAAAATTAATTTACAATTTTATTTTTATTAAACGAACCCATGACATTAAAATGATTATTCGAAGATGAAACATCCGCGAAAATGTCTCGTCGAATCTCGCAATAAATCTGGCAATCGATCTCATTCCTCTCCCATTATGGAAACCGCCAGGAATAGAATAGACGATAAATAATGCCTTCCCTCGGTAACAGTCGTGGTATTTTGAAGGTCGTTACCGATTCTATTGCAGAATCTAGTTGATTAATCAGGTAAACGCAGCGTTTTTCAGATTTTCGAATCGAAAATTTACCATCATTATATCCAGTGCTATTAAAGCTTGCATAAATGTCAACCAAAAGCAGAACCGCGGTATTCGTATTTCTTTTCGTGATGAATAAAATAGAGGTTTATTAACAATCTGCAATATAACTGTCTATATATGTATATACATACGTAGATCGAACGCGGGCGCAGAAAAGCAAATAGAAATATCGCGTGCTTCGACTTTTATCGGCGGTAAATTTTATTCCAGATATGCTCATCGTTATCAGAATTCATTAGCATATTTAGGTATAAATTTGAGCATATTTTGCTAAACCGAGACTTTACGTTGAGAATTATAAAAACCACGACGGACGATAAATTCTGCATATTTTATTATATATGCGACACAGGTTTTTTTTTTTACAATGCAACAAAAATTGTATAAAACACAGAAGAGCGAGATAAAAATTCAGCGAGTTCATCACATTTCGCAAATATACATAAGAACTTTGTACTTCCGTTCAATAATATCTCGACGCCGAAGTATGAAGCATAAATTAAATCGAGGATTGAAAGTTTGTTCAAGAGAATCATTTCTCATTTGCGTCAAGAAGGCCGGTTGGGCGAATGGAAAAGCTATTTGTTGCGCCAGCGAAGAGAACAAAAACAGAGGCGGTATAAACCAAAAAAAAAGATATATTCGAATGTCTGCTTACGTCGTCGGGCGTGCATCGATATTCATATATTAAGCTAATATGATTAATAGCGATGAGGTGCGCGATTCCATCAATCGCCCTGTGTTATCGGTCTAAAGGCCGGCAAGTGCGGCGTGACCTATTAATCATCGAACTATCTGATTACAGAAACGCAACAGGGAAACGAACGGGAGGAACTTTTTATACAGAAGCTACGGCAATGCTGCGTCCTCTTCGACTTCGAGTCCGATCCCCTGTCGGATTTGAAATGGAAGGAGGTGAAGCGCACTGCCCTCCACGAGATGGTCGAGTACGTGACCAAAAACAAAAACGTTATCACCGAGGCGATATATCCCGAGGCGGTGAACATGGTAAGTAATGTATTTCCATATTTTTTTACTAATGTGCAGGGTGTGGCAAAATTTATTTATAATTAACAGGGACACCCTGTTAATAGAGGAAATTTTCTCGGGTTATTTGGAGACGATTTTTCCTCAGCAAAAATGTCGAGACACCAATAATTTTCCAAGATCTTCATTTTCAAAAGATCTTCCGCAAACTCTGAGCCTCGTGGAAATAAAATATTAACAAAATCACATTCTTCGATTAATTTCAGGTAGAGTTTACTTCAGTAGAATTCTAACACGGTGCCAAAAATTGAGAACATGCGAAAAATGATGACCTCCCTCGACATTTTTTGCTGAGGAACAATCGTCTCTAAATAATCTTAAGATTATTCAGACAGGGAAAATTTTGAAAACCTCTATTCTCAGAGAATTTTGTTTTATGTTGAAGAATCAGGGAATTCTAGAATTTTATTAGGATTCAGGAAAATTTTAAAAAATTTGCCTTTTTCATAATTTTACTCTTATTTAACTTTTTAATTAAGAAACAGATGTCTAATTTATCTTTGCAATGTTTAAGTTTTTATTAAAATGTTTATGTGATTTTTTTATTGACAGTTTATTTTAGTATCAAGATCTTATGTAAAGTTCATAAAAAATTGTTTTTTTTAATTGGGAATTTTAATTTAAAGAAAAATAATTTAATAAATTAATATTTCTCAAGACGTTTATAATAAATTATTTTTTGTTTTCTATTTTTGCATATATTTTTAGCGTTGAGATATAATGATACATCATACTTTGTCATTGTCCACATTAATTTTACAATTAATAAATCAAATGCTAGAAAAATTGCACTCTTGATAACTTTCCAATCATATGAATAGAAAACATTAAAAACGTAGACAATAAGAAACTTTTAAAAAGCTGTATTTACAAATTTTCTGATTTTGCCTGAAATTTTAAATAAAAATGCTGGGAATTCGCAGAGAATTTTTTACCAAATTAATTTTTTTCTACTTTATTTATATATTTAAATATTAAATTTATATATTTAATATTAAAATATATTTAATTACATTTAAACACATTTTGTAATATAGTTAAAATATTGCATATTGCATTTGCATATTAATATATTTTGCTTAAAAGCATAGAGATCCTTGCAAATTACACATTTTATTTTTCGAAAATTGAAAATGTGCAAGACTATGTGAATGACAGGAAATTCTGTATCAAAATGAAAATAAACTCGATAAAGAGAACATAATAACACACATTAAAAGAATGAATAATAAAAATGAGTATTATATATATAAAATCGATGGAAATATAATTTAAATATAAAAAAAACGCTTTAACAATTAAAATTGAAAACTTTATTAAAACTATGAAAAATCTTTACAGTTTGCCGTGAACCTGTTCCGGACGCTACCTCCGTCGTCAAATCCTAACGGCGCAGAATTTGATCCCGAGGAGGATGAACCGACGTTGGAGGCGGCCTGGCCGCACTTGCAGCTTGTCTACGAATTTTTTTTGCGATTGTTAGAATCGCAGGACTTCCAACCGTCTATAGCGAGGCGCTACATAGATCAAAAATTCGTACTGCAGCTCTTAGAGTTGTTCGATTCCGAGGATCCGAGAGAGAGGGACTTCCTTAAAACGACCCTCCATAGGATTTATGGAAAATTCCTGGGTCTCAGGGCGTATATTAGAAAACAGATAAATAATGTTTTCTATCGATTTATATATGAGACGGAGCATCACAATGGCATCGCAGAATTGCTTGAAATCTTAGGAAGGTAAATAAATTTTGATAAGAATGTGTAATATGCACAAACAAATGTATAAACTGTATTCATTACTTGACTTTTATTTCCGAATTTAATTTAATTTTTTTCTTTTGCAGTATTATAAACGGTTTTGCTCTGCCGTTGAAAGAAGAGCACAAAGTGTTTTTGTTAAAAGTCCTACTACCCCTGCATAAGGCTAAGTCATTATCCGTGTACCATCCGCAACTGGCGTACTGCGTCGTCCAATTTTTGGAAAAGGATCCGTCGTTAACGGAACCCGTGATTAGAAACCTGCTGAAGTTCTGGCCAAAAACACATTCCCCGAAAGAAGTTATGTTCTTGAACGAGCTTGAAGAGATCTTAGACGTCATCGAGCCGGCTGAATTTCAAAAGGTCATGGATCCGTTGTTTAGGCAACTGGCCAAATGCGTATCATCACCGCATTTCCAGGTAAGCGTGCAATTTCATTATCCCTTTTTGTTCAAAGTGTTTCACGTTGTGTGCTTTACTCGGTTTTTTTCAGGTGGCAGAAAGGGCTCTCTATTATTGGAATAACGAATACATAATGTCTTTGATATCGGACAATTACTCCGTCATTTTACCAATAATGTATCCAGCTTTTTATAGAAACTCTCGCAATCACTGGAACAAGACGATTCACGGTTTAATTTACAACGCCCTGAAACTTTTTATGGAGATGAATCAAAAAGTATTTGATGAGTGTACAACACAATACTATCAGGTATGTTCGAGTAATGGTTTATATTTTCAATACTGAATATATATATATATATATATATAAATAAATAAAAATTGCTGAAACAGATATTTAATATTAAATAAATGATGGTTCAAAATGACGAGTTAATATGTTAAACATGAAAAATATGAATTTAAGATTATAATCTCAGAACTATACACTTCTGCATTGACTTGATTTTGTAGAAAGATTAAATAGCTGTTCTTTCTATTTTATAGGAACGTCAAAGAGAGCGAAAACTCATTAAAGATCGAGATGAAGCATGGATGCGCGTAGAAGCGCTCGCTATGAGACATCCAAATTATAATATCGCAAATAACACAACGAATAATATATTATATATGTCACCACAGCATATAGATAATTCGCCTCCCGATGAAGACGGTGATACAGATCAAACTCCGCTTACTCTGGAGAAAATTGAAGCTAAAGCTAATGAGGTATGAATTGATATTTGTGTAAGACCAAGAATATATTTCGATATTTTTTTTTTTTTTTAATGAAGATTCCGTTGTTTCAGGCGAAGAAAATGACAATTGTAAACAAAGTAAAGCCGCTTTTGCGAAGGAAGAGCGATTTACCACAGGACTCGTATACAATGCGGGCATTGTCCGACCATAAACGCGCCGATGAATACCTTGTCACGCCACCAGATCCGAATAATTGCTAGTCTCTACCACAACCCCTTCCCATGTATCCTCTGTTTTGCTGTAGTAACATCGGAAGTTAGCTTTTTTTCTAGGGAAAAGAAAAACGGCGATAAGAACGCGAATATTGATTTGGCAAACGAAAATCACATTATGCAAAACCGTATTATTATTTCAGCATGTATCACATTGTATTTGTTTTTACTTTAATAGAGAACCAGAAAAACCCTACTCTTTCCCGCCGCGCATCGTGATGCGACTCAAAGAGACAGTGTATAGGTACTCGTAGAAGCTTACACAGAAGAGACTTTTCATTCTTCGTAGAAATGCGTTGTATTTATTTCTTCGTTACGAGAAAGAGAAAATTACAGCTGTGAGTGGAAACTGTAATCACATTGTTATATATAAGATATGCATACGGTAAGCGAAAAGGGCTCTAAATACATTACTCGTAGAATCTCCATCACAAACTGGAGGCACTTTGGGATGCTACTTTCTTGCTGCATCTCAACAATATAAAATAATACACGAATAAGGTACGTAAAACGAAATGATTACTGCGGTTGTAACGGATTTGGTATATTCTACAAAAAGATTTTATATACTGATGAGAGAGAGGGAGAGAGAGAGAGAGATATTATATTATGTATGCGGGAATGTGATCGCGAAGATATAAATGTATGCTCGATGTTGTAACCCATATTATGCGCGCTATGCGAGCTTGTTGTGTTAACAATCTTGCGAATGACGTTTCCATTTATGTGCAAATGATATATACATATATAAATATACGTACTTGCTTTAACACTACAGGCTCGTTGTAGTTAAAGAAGAAGGAAACGAATAAATGAGATGTCGAGGGTAAAAGGATATACGCCGTCGCGCGTTATCTTAGGAGGATGTATATGATAGTGCTATTTTAAAAAAAAAAAATAATAGATTGCTACGAGAAAATCTGGATACTTCTGAGTGTACTACTTTTATATCTGTTGTGCCTAGATGCCTGTGGAATGCATTCACGAAAAAAGCATGCCTCCTCGCACGGGGCCTATATATTGCAAACAGCAAGAATAAGCAGCGAGTTTACATGTCGCTTTGCCAAATATAATCGATATTACAGGATTTCAGTAATGCTTGCATAACATGTTGCGTTGTTAACTCATTGACCTTGGGATTCATTGAGAAAAGATTATACTGTTGCGGCCACAAGAGATAGGGAGGAAGAAGAATGAAAGAAGAGAGGAGGAAATATTAAGATACATTTAGCCCTTGCGCTGCTGGCAAGTTGTTACGTTAATAATTGTCGAGGATACCTTGTTGAATATAGATATACGATAAGCACTTATATTAAATATTAGAAATTAAAGCTACGAAGAGAGATAGATTTAAAAATATTATTTACTTATTAATTATTCCTATCACAAGAAGGAATGGCCATTTCAACTAATTGATCATTAATTAAAGATATAAAAATATCATTATATAATTATTAGTTGTATTATTTTTAGTAATGAGAGACGAATATAACGACACGAAAGTAGGGTAATAGTAATAATGTAGTAGCTGGCATGCCTTGTGAATCTGTTTAATCAGCGTTTTTCAAATTAGATCGATAATAAATAAATCGCGCATTTCTTAGAAAAGAAATTTCACGTCAGAGAGAAATAAAGGGGGGAAAAATTCCTATTGTAGAGCAACTCGAAGAAACATCGAAGACATAAGAAATCTCCGCGAATGTGAATGTATGCGCCTGCAAAAGCTTAAATCGAGCTATAGAAAGCTGATAAAAAAAGAATAATCGTAATAATGCTGATAATGATAATAATAACAATGCCGTTGTTAAAATGATATAGAGCTGCCGGGTCACTTCACACACGTAATAAAGACACATTAAATTTGCATCGTACCGTGAGAGTTCTTTCATACGTATAAAGCATGATAAAAGTGTCATTGCGATATTTTTTTTTTTACAAACATTCAAGCAAGGATTGAAATTGAATTTTATTTAGATTTCGATATAAGAACATAAAAAAAATTATCTCTGTGTTATATTTATATGTGACGCGAAATGAGGTAATTTTTTATTTATAGCATCTGAGTAATTCAACTCGTTAATTCTCGATTCAGATTTCCATGCATGAACATAAACACATAAGGCTCTTGCATATTTTTGCTCGTGCATCTATAATGCTAGAGAAATTTAATTAATCGAAATATTTTCTATATTACATATTCGGTATCGAGAAATTATATATACATTATGAAGCAAATATCGCGATTTCAATCTAAGTTTGAATCAAAGTCGAGATCAGAGTTTACAATATTTCATATAAGAATAAAAAAATGTTCTTTATATCCGTGATTTTTGAGGTATATCCAAGAAGCTTCGATTAAATCCGGCAAGAAGAGATGCAAAAGCTCATCACATTTCGTGTACCTGGGATATATAAACGGTATAAATAATATACATATTTCTGTGAATGCATTCTCTTTTTTTAGGATTTTTTATTTAGAGCAATTCTCAATTTTTTTTCTATTTTTTCAAACGCACACATAGAGTATATTAAATTTTTTTGTATAAGGCTTATAAATTTATTTATTTTCGAGTGATCACGTTTATTCAATCAACATCGAGCACTATGATCATTTGACATAATTAATTAAACGCCCACTTTTCAATTTAAGAAAAAATCGTCTTGTTCTTTTAATTTTATCTGTCAACAATTTTATCCTTATGCTTTTACGTTAGCAAGTTTATAACGTATTTGATTTTTATAATCACTTATTTTGTGATACACATGCATATATATGCATACATAGAATTCTTTAAAAAAATATCTCAATTTATACCCTGCACTTTGTGTAATTAATGAACGCAGTAATTAATTACATAATATCTGTGCCGCAAAATGAAATTGAGAGAAAAGAAAGAGATGCGTAAAATCTTTGGATAATTTTGCTATAAGAACATCGTTACAGAATTTTTTATGTGATATTTAAATTAATTTATATGTTAATTTAAATTATCTCCTCTCGTATACATTTTTATTAATCGTACAAATAAAAGAGTATCGCGCAGAAAAATCCGCCGTTTAAAAAAAGAATAGATTTTATTGCTTTCGGTCTAATTATAATTATTCATTCATTGAACATTATTTGAGTGATTGATAATATTTTACATGTACGTGTATATATTTTGCAATATGTTAAAGATATAGTTTTATAATAAATAAAGAGAATTATAGAAGAGAGAAATCATATACATATATACGGCGGATATCCGTTCTTACGAAAAAATATTCTAAAATAATAACTTGTTAATAATAATGTATACATGTGATATATTGCGAATGCTTGTAAGTTTGATGTCGAGCCGCATTAAATATATGCATAGAACTAAACGTGTAATTATAAAATAGATTTCTTTTTAATTGCTCAATGATATATTGTAACTTCTACATAATGTAAAATATTTTAATGATCCGATTGATATTTTTAAATTTTTAGAAAATTTGCTTAAATTCCAATAGTAAAATATTCTTCATTGCATCAGCAGTATTTCATAAAATATTGCATATCGTTTACAAATGTGACATTGACAGTGTTAATTGCTATTAAATATCAGATTAGATATATATCTAAGATTTTATCGTACATATCATATCATATTTTCATTTAATTTTTATCTGCAAAAAATTAAAAAAAAATATTTTGCTGTAAATTTTTAGTAAAAAGAAATCCAAATTTTATACGATGTTTCAGGATAGATTCACCATATACTTGGATATATTAATATATATCCCAGCAAACACAGTATATAAATATTATATACTTAAGCATGTTACATGTAACATATATGTTAGTTGTAATTTCCCACTCATAGATGTAACATTTTTAATATTACATATATTACATTGTAGTTATATTGTCATTATATCCCAAGATAGCACTGACTTGTCAATACATCAATGTGCTATTTGGTATATAATTACAATATAACTACAATGTAATATATGTTATATTAAAATGTTACATCTATGAGTGGGAAATTACAATTAACATGGATGTTACATGTAACGTACACGTTATATTACTTGTTTATATTCCGTTTTATTATAGCAATGTAACAATTATATATCGATGTTTGCTGGGATGTTTTACGACCAGTATTGGTTAACACGACGTGTCATATGTCGTATGAGGATGTGCCACGTCATATTATTAATTACAGTTAGTTTATCTCTGCGGCTTTTTGTAGACTTAGTTGCGGAACAGTATCAATCAGTCTGGGATGAACGGAAGTGATGGGCAGCAAGGCACTACCCCATTTCTCATCAGGAACTGTCATCAGGGGCTTCGGTAGAGGCTCGAAGGCCCTTGGCATTCCGACAGGTATATCCTTAAATTTCTTACGACGACATCGATTTCTTCTCTTCTTTACTTACATTGCAACTAAAATTTATATGCAGTATCGTTCGAGACCCTTGCTGCAGGTTAGGTATTTTCACAACAATCCATAGCCTATGTATACGTGTTACGTAATTTTGATCGATTGATCTATCTCCTTTAATTGCACTTTCTGCACTTTGTGTCTTCTCTTTAAGGCTTTAAAAAATATATTTTGTTGCGGAAAAACTATATTGTTCTCAGAATTTTTTATCTGAACATCGACAGCAATTAATCTTATTCACGTTTATATTTTTTAATTAAATATATTTAAAAAAATCAGAAAATATATTCAATAATCATTCCACGTCTTATTAATGGCGCTGTGTTTAATCGAGATATATTGCTATCGCTGGTTCATAATTCAAATTTAAATTAAAAATTTAATACATATACTTATGTAAACAAATTAATAAAAACTTCATTATTTTTTTTACAATTATTCCAGCTAATTTACCGGAAGTTGTGGTCAATGATTTACCGAAAGAATTAAATACCGGAGTTTATTACGGCTGGGCTTCCTTGCATGGGCAAGTTTATAAAATGGTCACCAGTATAGGCTGGAATCCATACTACAAGAATGAGAAAAATCAATGGTATAAGAAATAATATATTAAAAAAAATGAAGTTCTCAATTGATTAAATTTTCAAAATTGTATATTCAATATACAATTATCTTTATAGACATTAATAAAAATACAAGGAACAAATCTGTTATAACTCGATTTCAATCACGAATTTAAATGGAATAAAGTAAAAATTCTTGATAAAAAAAATTTCCTCGGAAAAAGATTAATCTCCGAGATTATTTATATTAAAAGGCAAACAAATAGTTTGAATTTACAGACGGACATAGAATGTTTACCTGATACATATATAGACAGTATTGATAAACTTCCGAAAAACTCTGAAAATAGATACACAAAGATAATAAGTAATACCGCTCATTTTCACCTTGCGATCACTTTGTCTGTAACATTGTAAGTGTGCGGATCTCAAGAATCGATGTTCCTCCTACACTACTGTTTTACGTTGCAATCTAGTCATATGTAAGTTTCTATACATCTTCGTTTTCTTATATCCTATTAAGTTTAAATAAAACAATAACTATTTAATAACGTTATAGGATTCAAATTATTTGTTTTAAATCACCATGTGTCTATCGGGTCTAAGAACCGGAGAAGAAACACAACTTACGAATTTTAATCTTTGCATTATGACTACATTGGGAGGAATATCGCTTTTCATTTTTACATCTTTTTCTCTTTGTCAATCATTATATCTATTGTTGTATTTTTAATACTTTACATATTTTATGACGTTTCTAATTATGCTTAATGTACATGATACCGTTATGATACCGTTTATTTTAAATTCATAACTTAATCAGCGTTAATAAAGGTCAAAATATTGACCGAAACGTTCGCTCTGTATTTGTATTTAAAGATGACTTATGTTTAATTCTTTTTGTCACCTTTGATTGTAATTCATTATTAGATATTAGATTAAAGAATACTATTTTTATATATGACTTCACTTGTAATCATATTTTGAATTTTTATATTTACTGCTCTTAACAGCCTTTTATCAAATTTATTTTAATTATCTTTATATTTTTCAATATTCAATTTACAATTATATTCAATATTCAATTTACAATTATCTTTATATTTTTCAATATTCAATATACAATTATCTTTATATTTTTAATATCGATATTGTAATTAAAATTTGTAATTTGTTTGCAGGAAGTTCACCTGCTACATAAATTCCATAATGACTTTTATGGTGAAGAGCTCAAAGTGATAATTAGTGGATATATACGACCAGAAAGAGATTTTTCCTCGCTAGGTAAAATATATTATTATAATAGTAGCATATAAAATGTAAATTAATCATCATTCTTGCATAATTTATGATCATTCAAATATACATAATGCTTGTGTGTAATCTTATATTATGTATTTTTTCAGAGGAACTGATTAAAGAGATAAAGAATGATATTGCGTTTGCAGAGCAAAAATTAGAAGAACCTGTTTTAAATAAATTGAAAGACGATGAGTTTTTAATAACTAATAAACAAACAAATAATTAAGATCTATGAAAAATGTCATTCTTCATCTAATAAATAAATGTAATTGTTATTTTTATTTGCATGTTTGTCATAGAAAGAATACCTATTTAAATTCAAATATTTTTTACTACTTTTTCCACACATGAATTTAGAAAAGATATAAAAATAAATCTCTTTATATATACATCTTTTATTTACATATTAGACATTAGAGCTATTTTAAGTTTACAGTTTACATAAATATAGAAAAAATATAGAACATTTTACATGAAATTTTAAATATATTCTACATTAAAGTAAATCAATTATTAGGTTGTGCATTCGTATGCATTGGTGGTCGCACAGGAATATGATAAAACATATCTGAATACAATAATGATGCGTTGGAAAATTGAGAATAGCTCATTGGAACATAGGATTGAGTCTCGGAGGAAGACCTACATTAAAATAAATCTCATTTATCAGTCGTCGGATCAGTTGTCGAACCAGTCGTCGAATCAGGAGGTGGAGGAGGCGGTAAAGGCGCGCAAAATGTATTCGTATGTATTGGTGGCACAGGATTGTGACAACCTAACTGTGAATACATTAATGATGTGTTGGGAAATTGAGGATAGTTCATTGGAAAGGATTGGAACGTAGGATTGCATCTCGGAGGAGGAGCGAACGGAATTCTAGGATATGGCGGTTGCATGTTGTTGGACTGAGAATCCGGCATAACACCGGAATTATTCAAATTATAATTGACATACTGTGATAAATGGGACTCATTCAATGATGGTCCAGATCCTGTGTTTTGTCCGGTCAACATAGGATGTGTGTTTCTTGGAACAGGTGGCCAAAACATACTTTGATAATGATATTGCATCCAGGGATCGTTATAGCACGGTCCATATAGTGGATTAGAGGGACCATTATGTCTCCATGCCTGTTGCCTTTTCTGGTTATACCTTTGAAATTGGCCATTTCTGTTCCACGGATGAGTCGACTGCCATTCAACTGGCTTATTTTGAGTTGGCTTATTTTGAGTAAAACCTAGAAAACAATCGATAGTAATTATTCGGTTCATTCAATTGATACTAATACAGCTGTAAAATGACGGCAACATGAGACCCAGTTTGTCTGGTTTTTGCATGAAAGTCTGATCACAATCATTTTATGGTTGTTGATTGATTATCAAGAGAAAATTATAGTTTTCGAGACATTTTAAGAGTATGTTAAAGCCATTTGAAGTGCTGTTTCATCATGTTGAAATATCTTTTTATTTCGAAATAGCATCGAATTTTTAGCGTGTGTTCTCTCGCCTCTGACGTCACATAATCGGCGAGAACCTTAAGAAATACTCACTCGATGTACGTTGCCGTTTACGTGTTTCACCATCGGAACTGTCTTTGTTATTTTTCTGCTTTAGGTAAGCTTGCTCTTTCTCGTCGTCCGAAAACAGCGGCGCCTCGTCGTCGTCGCCCATTACGTCATGACTTTTCATCCTGCAGGAAAGATTGTTCATTTGAATATACATATATACGTCATAATCTTAAATACAACGTGTATTATAATTATCAGACTACTCACATATTTAATTGATGATGGAAGATGAGCAACGTATATCCGGATTCCGTATCCGGACAATAATAGACCAGCATGCCCACAGTAATGTTGCTATTCTGTATGTGTTCGGAACTATTGAAGCGAACACAGTAACGCGGGTCGCTTACGGGGCCAAACACGTCCAGTATTTTGCCGAGCGCTCTTTCTCCTTTCTCGACAAATAAAACTGTATCGATGTGAAGTGTAGGCTTACCAGTTTTCGGTTTTACAATCACCACTTGTTCCACTATGTTTTCAATCTGGATCATTCAGAGACATAAAGATGTAACTTTTAAACATGTGTAGAAATTATCATCGCACTTATGGTATTGACTTATAAGTTGTATTTATTTATTTCTATAAAATTATATTAACGTTTATAAATTGGTTACCTCGCCTAGGAGATCACACTTGTTTTCAGGGATGCTGATCCTCAAATCTTCTATCGGTGGAAGATCATTAAATTCGTTTTCTATCTGTTTCTTCTGTTTCAATGTGCCTGCTTTATTTTCTTTCTCCTTCCTAAAAATACATATCATGTGTTTATCGTTTCTATTTATTAAAAAAAAAAAAAAGAATTCAATGTATATCTCATATTATATCATAATTTTTTATTCTTGTAGAAATGTAACAGTACTTGTTATTATTGGTACAAGTAGTATTTTCCGAATCACTGTCACTGTCGCTACTATCACTTCTAGAACTACTCGTACTGCTACTGATACTGATGCAGCTCTCACTAGAGTCATCTTCGCTATCACTTTCTTCTGAAGAAGACACATTTCCTCCATTTACACGGTATTCAAACAAAACCTCTGCAACCTGTGTTTCGAAAACTGGCACAGTGTTTTGATTTTCAGTTTTGTTACTGTCTATTTCTATCTCCTCCACCAAAACCTCTGAAACCTGTATTTCGGAAACTGGCACAGTGTTTTGATTTTCAGTCTTGTTACTGTCTATTTCTATCTCCTCCACATCAGAATTACAATCGTCGTATTCCAGAGCGATGATGTTGAGAGAAGATATTTTATTTTCTGTCAAATGAATACAACAAGAAAATATAAATATAAATGCCAAACACACATTACATACAATTTAATACAAAAATATTATTAAAATAATATAAATAATATAATAAAAAAATATTTTAAAAATCAAACATTGAGGAACAGAATTGCAATAAATTATTCATTTGTGAGAATCGTATTATTAATCATTGTTTGTCTCAACAGATTTTTTTTTAGACTTATTTGCAGAATAGTAAATTATATAAATTATTACCACAATTTGCGTCAGGAATGGTCATCGAGGACTTTGCCTCCAAAGTATTCGATATTTCGACAGGTGCTTTTTCTCCAGAACACTCATTATTGTTGGAATTCATCTTCTTCTTTTTATTTTTTACAATATACCAGCACGATCATATAAATCTCGAAGATATATCCTGAATGAAACAATCTAACTTCCAACATAAGAACACGTGTTTGTACAGTTTGTAGTCAGTCGTTAGGTTAGATTAGGGTATCGATTCTGTAACTTTTTCTAAAGTGAAAATGTGAAAAGTGAAAAATTTCCGCCAATCACGCATTGATTTTAAAATGAAATTGATGTGCAATTGGTGGAAATTTTTTACTTTTCACGTTTTCACTTTAGAAAAAGTTACAGAATCGATACTTAGGTGTAGAAAGTGGTTAGACCATTTTTGAATTAGCTAAAGATGAGATAAAAATTTGTAATTTCATCTTAGATAAGATCAAGATAATTTTGTTTTAAATATATTGAGTTAAAAGTAAAATTATATGACGATTCATTCAGATAATAATTTTTAAAACTGCTTATGTAAACAGTTATAAAAAAATATAAATTACAAAAGATATATAAAAATATACATTTTTATCTCTTTTATAATTTACATTTTTTAAATTTACATATGTATTTATATTTTTATTTATAAATTTTTATCGCTTATACTGCTTAAGTTTTTACTATTTAAGTATTTTTATATGCTATGATTCTAAACCAAAATGATTTGAAAATTATTTTAGATAATTAAAGATAATAATTTTATTTAGATAACAACAAACACTGGATATAGATATAAATTATTTTAATAGAATGCAAAGTCTAAATAAATTATTACAATAATAAATAAACGAAGAAAGGATAAGATAAAATGGATAATTAATTTAGGAAGACTTAAGCATTTTTTTAAGGACACTGTTTCAAAGAAATAAAAATTTTTGTTGGCAGGCAACATGCGATATATTTTCTTTAATTGCAATTATGAACTTGTCGAATATGAATGGTTTATTGCAAATTGCCAAAGTCAAAGATATTAGCTCCTTCAAAAGCTATTCATCGACATGTCATTTTAATAAAAAATAAAATGTCGGAACGCTAGCTTTTCTATCTTATATATTAAAATTCTTTTCTTTTAATATATATACATAACGCCGTTTGCTTTTTCTTAAGGCCTCACATATTTTACATTTGTAATGGTAACTAACTTATTAAATTCTTTTCTCGCCTATTCCTTTGTTACTATATTTACAATTGTATGTATAATGGATTTGCCTTGTTGATGGTTTAAGAGATTCAACAAAGGATCTTGCATCTTTTGCTCCAGTAATTTTGCCAGTTCTATTCTCATTCTTTGCAAAAGTAGTCCCACCTGGAAATATATTTTAAAATAAAGTTATGTGACGTGTGACGTTATTAAAAATAAACACATTATTTCCTCATCGCAATTATAATCTTACATTGTGTGATTCCATGGCGAACATAATCCAACCATCGTCCAAAGAAAGCATATATCTTCCATTGTGTATTTCCGTGCGCACTTCATAACTGGAGAATAATATTAAAGACAGCATTGGAATCATGGACACTTCCTTGATGTAAACCTGGCTGGTCTTCATCTTCTCCTGGAATACCAAGTACGGACTCGTGAACTGTCCAACGTGAAAGTTCACTGACGACGGATGAATGCTGACGAAACCGTCTCGTCTCGTCTGGAACTTCAACTCTTTCGATTTAGGCTGCATTGGTATCATCCCAGTTGACTGCGCTTGAAACGACTTTCCGGGTGTAAAAACCTTCACGATGTTAGGATATAAAGCTGCACAGAGTAGACCCTGCAGCAGCTTGCAGTTTTCGTTATTGACATTCAGTTCGACTCCAGTCATTTCTAAGATATTGTCGATCTTAGGTCGTCTCTTGGGTAAATCAATGGGTGCGAAACCGATCGATACTAACAACTCCAGAAATTGATACTTTATGTCCGCTAAATTACGTAATGTTTGTAAGGATAAATAATTTTTCTCGGCGAACACTTTGCCGGCATAAGTACTGCGCGAACACGCAGCCAACCATTTCTACGAAATAACAAGAATTATATAAGTAAGATCTCTCTTAAACGAAATTATTAAATTTTTTAAATTAGTTAACAATTAATATATGATATATATATTATGTAATATAAATATTATTAAAAACAAAAATATATATATGTATATTAATAATTAATTTAATGATTAAATTAATTGGAAATAATTTTGCCTAATATGTTCACCTTATAAGCGTTGAGGACGGTTAACTGATCAGACTCAGCCATGAAGAAATTCTTTTTGGGATCAATCTTTCTTATCATATCAATTGGTACATTAAAGGGACTCTTGTGCGACAAACATGCGGCGATAGTGAGCGCGGAATCCAAGCAGCAAAAATCGCGCCGTACAATATCAATTTTCCAATTCGTACGTTTACAGGTAGTTTGGCTAGATGATGACCGAGCGTTGTTAACACATGTTCCGAATTAAAGGCACCGACATCTTGCAAACGCGTTATCGCACTCGTAATACTGTCGATCATCGGTGGTTCTATCATCCTTCCTGGAAAAATTTAAGAATGCGAATTATTACTTCTGCGATAGACAATAATATATACAGAGCTGATAAAAGCACAGAGAGATTTTCTTACCCAATTTTTCGTACAGATCCACCTTCTTTCCTTTGTGCATCAGCTGGATATGTAGAAGTAGCGATTCCAGAGGTATTCTTAATATTTCTGGCGTCGGTTGCGCAGCAAAGTGATACTTGAATCTATAAAAATAAAATATATATTAACATATATTCTACAATATATATTAATATATTTTTCATGTGTACATTAAATATAATATTAATATATATTTAAAAAAGATACACACCTATGCGAAGTGTACAAATGGATGCAAATTCCGGGCATAACTCGACCAGAACGTCCCTTTCTTTGCACAGCGTTCGCTCGCGATATCCAGCAGGCCTCTAAACTTTCCATATTCTGATTGGAATTAAATCTAATCTCCTTCATCTTTCCCGTATCGATCACGAATACACAATCGTCTACAGTTATAGATGTTTCAGCCAGATTTGTGCTAAGTACGAGTTTGCGGACATCCTTTTCGGTTTTTTAAATATAAGATTTTGCTCCTCATTAGAAAGGCTCGAATGCAGAGGTATGATAAGAAATCGTTTATTATTTGGCGAGAAATTGTTATTGTGGGATAATCGACTTTTCAATGCGAGAATATCATTCATACCTGGTAGGAATACCTAAAAATATTAATAAAATATGAATAAAAATATATTATATATAATATATATTAAATACATTATAATTATATATATAATATATATAAACATTATAAATTATATATATAATATATATAATACATATTAAAATATAATATATATAATATAATATACATATTATTACTATAAGAAATAAACAGACATAAATAATAAATATTGTACTTACTAAAATAGAACCCATTTTAGGATAATCATGTTCTCCGAAAACAATCCATTCTAAAATCTTTTCTACCAATTCAAAATTAATCCTTTCCGGATTCGTGATATATAAATTTTTATACGTCTGCTTTGAATAACCACGATATCTACTAATGAGTTGCGTCAACGTCAAATCTTCGTCCTGGATAGATTCCTTGGGTGGGTTGGCGCCTTCGCTGATATTCATATCCGCCATCTCCAAGTCGATTTGAAACTGATCCCAATCATACTTGTTCTTACGAGCGAACTCGGAATCTTCTTCAAGAACGTATCCCGTTCTTTCAAGTGCGTCTTCGAGAAAGATCTGCTCGACTGGAAAAGTTTTTCCTGGGATATTTAGAATCAATGCTTTTCCAAAATATGAGGAGAATGCGTCGGCGTTGAGCGTCGCGCTCATCAGTATTATTTTCAAAGACGGCCTTTTCGATAACAATTCCTTTAGGAGCATCAGTAAGAAATCGCTGGACAGAAAAAGAATAAATATATAAGACAAAAATAAAAAATAGAGGAAAGAAGTGAGACATATATAGAATATTTTACCTCTCGGCGCTTCTCTCATGAACCTCGTCAACTATAACGTGAGTTACATCCGATAATTCGAGATCCCCTGATAATCTCTGCAGCAATATTCCCATGGTGCAAAATGTCAGTCGCGTTTTACTAGACATTTTGCTTTCCAAACGTATCTGATATCCAACGGTATTTCCTACGTTTTCGTCTCTCTCAGCTGCCACTCGTTCCGCAACCCCTATTGCACTTATTCTTCGTGGTTGAGTACATATTATATTAATGCGAGGCTTATCTTCAGACTGTGATCTATTCATAATCCAGTTGTCTAAAATAAACTGTGGTACCTGCAACATTTTTAAGGAATTTTTGGTCTTATAATTTTCTTATAATTTATATTTTCATTATATATATATATATATATATATATATATATATTGAAAGAAATACTGTAACGTACCTGAGTACTTTTGCCACATCCGGTTTCACCAGAAATGATAACAATCTGATTTTTGTGTACAATTTCCAAAATTTCATCTATCTTGGACCAAGCAGGTAGTTTTTTTCGTGTCTCCTGCATTCTCATATAATTAGAATTTTTCTGTTTATCCTTAAATTTTTTTCTATCAAATCGTCTTCCTCAGTAATCTGTTCCCAGGAAATATTATCTCTGTTTCTTTTACTAGTACTACCAAGTTTGTAATGACTAGCTCCTCCTTCTTCTTTCTCTTGTATCTTTGGACACAGTGGTTCATACTGATGCAAAAATTGTTCCTTGTCTTCTTCTAAATAAGTTTTTATTTCATATTCATTTTCTAATAGTGAAATTATAGAAAATATCGACGGAATACCATCCTGAGATAATGATAAAGCTTCATTATGCAATCTTCTTGCTATCCTAAGACATTTTATACGTGGAAATATTTCATTATTTTTATAAAAATAAAAATATGGAGCTTCATATGGATATTTACATCCTGTAATTAGAAAATTGTTATTATAACTTTAATAAACAATGTCAAATGTTATTAGCATAATTCTAATATTGCGATTAATTATATGTAATTCAATCAGCATATTTAATTATTTGTACAGTACCTTCAGGAAATCTTATTTCTAGCGTAAAGTATGAATCTTCTAGAATTGGCACATTGAAAACTTTCTGTGGTAATTGGTGTAGAAATCTGCATTTGTCTTTAAATCTGCATTTATTGTTGATGAAAAGTTGACATACTTTTTCTCTTGCTTCTTCTCTTGCAGTTTTTTGCCTTCTTGTTCAATTGTTTTATTATTTGTTAAATAATCTAATTTTAATTCCACCATCCAAATACAATTTTTTATTTTTTCAACAAATGCATCACCATAAATTGATTCCAGTGCCTCCTTTTCATCCTGTTGTCTTTCCAATAATTCAGCAGCATCCGGAATTTCAGAATTTATATTGTTTTGAATATTTTCAAGTCCATAGTACTTGTAAAATAACATTTCCAAAGATTTTCCCACATTGCTTTTTGTATGCGTTAAAGCTTGCATACAATGTGAAAGATGAAAACTATAAGAAATATAATCATGATACGAAGAAACGCACAGTAATATTATTTTATTCATTAAAAAAAACATACCCATAACTTTCTAATTTAGATGTCGCAAACTGCTTCACTATTTGGTCCTGGGTCTTAGGAGTGGTATCTTTAGAAGAATAATCTACTATTCCTTTGACAACTAAAGCACCTTGTTCCATCCAGTACTGCTTGTCCAAATTTGATGTTTTGTTTTCAAGCTCTACGGTGTCAGTAAGTTTAAAATTCTGCAAAGAATTGCGAAATTGTATCCATCAAGAGAGAACAAACATATCGCAGCATTCAATTAATAAATAATAGAAGTGCATATTTACATTTCCATAAATATGCAAAAGACTGTCATAGAGCTGTTGCTCAGATTCCTCGGATATTTGCAGTGTTCGCATTTCCACCTTGAGCTTACTATTATTAGGCAACGAGGGGATTCTTGACTTGACATCTTTCCCTCTATCACTTTTGACAGACACATTACTGTCACGTGTACATATTAAACAAGTATATAAAAATATATAAAATATATAACGTGTAAAACGATATTTTTCTGATATTTAATTTTCTTCAAGATCAAAGTACAGAAAATATTTATGGTTATTTATCTTACTCACGTGTTAGTTTTATTGTTAGATGTGCCTTTCGCTTCCAACACATCATCTTTCATCAACTGCTCACTACGATAATCCATCGCTGAAGAAATATCATTTTTGTATGTAAAATAAAGTATAAATGTCGAGTTTTAGAATTGGAAAGAAAATTGCACATACCTGATTAGTTCTCTGCCAATTTTTTCCTATAAACCTGAGGTAAGAATTCTTCTCATTAGATATTTAAATATTTATATTGCTGTCAAACTCGTGTCACGACCAGAAAAAGGCATTAGATGGAAAAATTAATAACTTGTTAATCATTTTATATTTTAGGAAAATTTTTTTCGATGCGATGCAGAAAAGAAGAATTTGACAGATGCGTCCTCTCTGATCGGTAATGCAGAAACACGACCTCCTCGCGCGATATAGTCTCCTAATACACACCTCTTCGCACAATATGTTTCTCTATTCGCTCAAGCCAGTAACAAGCGCAAAGCATACTGTGCGAGGAAGTAGAGCCAGGAGAACATAACACTGCAAGGAGGTTTTCAAAACTGCGAAAAGACACGATATTTTAGCTTCTGTCTCTGTCTACCATTCGTTATATGTATTTGGTGAAAATTGGTTATGAGCCTCTATTCATCGCTTATTTCGTCGAAAACGATATAATTGAGAGGAAAACGTTGGATATTTTTGATAAGAGGTAATAAAGAGACTTTTACTCGAATCAGAAGCGATCGAATGATTTTACTTGGTCAACTAAAAAATTAACCTGTTTCTGACAACTTGTAGAATTTTATTTATTTTTTTTTTTGCCTATTTTATGATTTTGGTTTTTTAGATTTATGTTAGGAATTATACGTGATTCTGTGAAAATATGTTAATAGTATTTTTATGTTATATTTTAATTTATTATTTTGAATATTCATCAGCAGGATCCGATGGCGTCTTCGTGCATGATTCTGCGACGTGGTATCGCGACTTCTTGCATCTGTCATGGAAAGCGAAATTTTCGAAAATTCTTGCTGTACAACAAACGTGGTAGTCGCAACTTTAAAGAGCAGCAGGCGAAAAACCCAGATCCTGATATACCAATAGATCGTGAGTTATTGATTTGAAGTATATATTAAATGTGAAATGTATTACAAATTGTATAATTATATATAATTAATTACATAGATAAATATAAAATATATTATTAAATATAAATATATTATTTAGAACAGTAGATTATAGTTTCATAAATATCTCTTTCTTACGAGATCATATTGACAAATACACGATTGCATAAATATATGATATTTTATTCCATACAGAAGATATAGTTTCTATATGTAACAAAATCCAATGTGGAAAAACTATGTATAATTGTGATTGTTTAAAGTTTGCGATTTTTATAATTGCTCAATAATTAAAGAAATTTGCAATATACGTGATACAAATTAAGGATATTACATGCGATATGTGTACTAATTATTATATTAAATATTATAGATAGAGGTGTAAGAAAAACTGGAAGGAAATTAGGTGACCATTGGATTACTGTGCCGGAGATGATTCCTGAATTAATTGTTCCTTCGTTGGAAGGGTTCACATTGAAGCCATACGTGTCGTACAGAGTGATGGACTTTTCAGAACCCGAATTTACTGCACAAGATTTATTCGATGCAGTATATTCTGAAAAGATAAAAAAGGACTTTGCAAATAATAAATTGGATGAGAATGGAGAGCCATTGAATCCCAGTGAACATGAACAGCTTACGCCGCAACAAGCTAAGGATAATGCTAGGAAAACAGGCTCTGACATTTTTGATGAAAGAAACCGTTTGTAAGAGTTTCACTTTTTAGTATTTTTATGATTCTTAATATATATATATATATATATAAATGTACATTTTTCTCTATTCTACTACGTAGAAATAAAAAATGTTGAACATGCTGCAGGACATTAATTACGACTTTCAATCTGTATATATTTTATTTATAACTCGCATGTATACATACGTTCACAATTTTGCAATTTTTACAAAAAGTAACTACTTACTATCGTATATGACTGTTAAAAGTGATATTATGTGTGCACACTTTGCTAAGAGCATGAAAAAAAACAGAATTTGTTATATTGTATATATATATAAGCGACCTATCTCTCGGATCAGTTTATTTTTTTCTTTTATGACAACTCGTGTCTATATATGGCAGTCAGTGCTTGATAGCAAATAATTACTTCCATTATTATCCTTAAACAGATTACATTGTTATTTAAAACAATAGCTTATATATATTATAAAACAATACCCAGGTAGCAAGCGTACGTCATTTTGACGTCGAATAACATCATTAGACGTCAAAGTGACATCATTTTGACGTCTAATGACGTCAGTTTGCTACTTGGGTAGTATCACATATATAATTGTCGCAAAATCTTCCGCGAATAGTCGTGTCTAGTTGAGTTTGCGCAATGTTCCAACGGACAAGTGAAATTAATTTATTGCTATTATGAAACACAACGATTACGCTGTACCGGGTCTCTGTCTTATTCAATCCAAAGAACTTGCACGAGTCCAAAGAAGACAATTCAACAATGCCAAAATTGATTTTCAATTCCTGAGAGTCATGGATATCTTGTGTGTGTCGATGAATTTGTGATTAGGCTAACTTAACAGTCATATTTCACTTATTAAAAGATTTTTGAGCGAAGTTTGATTGTTTCCTGTCGGGTAAAAAATGGCGAAAAATTCGAATAGTAAAGTCGTTGTCGGTTGTGCGCGGCCGGTATTGCTTACTACTGACTAGATTACTAAATTCTAATAATATATGTATGTGTATATATATTGTTTTTTTTTTCAAGTGCTGTATTCATATCAAACGTACAAACGGTCTCATAATCATTATTGTTTCTCTTCAACGTCTAATAATTATAATCATGCAAAAAGCTCATAAAACGGAGCTATTGAAATGGAAAATATTCCGTTTAGAAGAAATCATATCATGTAGAGAGTGAACGTCTCGGTGAATGTTTATGAAAGACATTTTGTATAAAAGTAGTGCAGCTGTTAATGTAATGCAGCTATAAATATTTTCTAGAAAGAGATAACGTATAAAAAATGTTAGTTAACTTATGCTTATGTAGGAAATCGCAATCACATAAATCATTTATTCAAACATCTCTTTCAAGAATGCAGCACTTCTGATACACATTAGCTATTACTAATTTACTTCTAATATTATTGTGTTTTCTGTTATTATTTTCTATCTCCTATAGTCACCATTATGAAGAGTGGAAGAGAAAAATGTCTCTCTCTAATTTTGTACAATGGAACGCTTATTGAGAAAAAACATTCTGATCATTATGATCCTTTAACTCTAAACCTCTTATTTCCACTCTTCGATTAAATCAATGGAAAAGCAAAAGTGGCATAGTACTTGTTTTTTTTGCTTTACTATGAAAGGAATTTTAATTCTATCTCAGTATGTTGCTCTTATTTCTTTGTGTGTCGTCTTTTTTTTATATCTTACTCTACAACATATTTATAATATCTCGTCGACGACTTTTGAGCATTCATATATATTTTTTTCACTTATTGGCAGTACAGAATATCCTCTGAGGACTTATATTGCGTAAAATGGATATATGTATATATATATTATCCTGTTATTCATTTTGTACACATGAACGGTTGCAGAAATGAACAAGATCTAAGCTTTTTCTAAATCTATCCGCGAACTTGTAAATTAAAAAATTTTATTCAACAATATATTTAAAAACTTGGTAGTTTTTCTCTCTTTCTTGCGCATTATAGTCTCAACAGTGGACAAGTCATATGCCACTTGCTCTTCAACTGAACTTGGTGTTTCGCTTTAATTATCAGTCTATGATATAATTGGATATTTGACTGATAAAATCATCAGTCATTTTAATAAGGCAGGTACACGTGTTACTGTACGACAAAGATTACTCTGCATGAAAGACTTTTCTTTCCTTTTTTTTGCCATATAATACGTATTCCTCCATATTATCTCCATATATTTGCTCATGCAAAGAGACATACAGTGGTGATAACTTTGTAAAACGGCATTGTAGCAAACAACTTATGTATGAAACATTTTGATACAACTTTTTAATGCTTCAGTTAAGTCTTTTTTTTCACGTCAAGACGTTTCGGACCAATAAAAGCACACGAGTGTAAATCTTTGGCGTTCAGTAACATGTACCGTACATCTAACCGGAGATCTTGAGTATGTAAAGAAGTATAATATTGATTACAGATGAGAAAGAGAGAGAAAGAGAGAGCGAACGTTTCAAATTCTTCGCATAATATACATCTAAACATTTCTCTCCATCTCCAATGTGAAATGATATGCAACTATGTTAATGAAAGTCAACGTGGAAAGACTAGCGGAGGGAGTAATGATTCAACTGGGAGGCTTTTCATACGCAAGATCTCGAGATAATTACTAACAACGAGAGAGCGGAGCTTTATTCCATTGGATCCCCTACATTTTCGAAGATGGTTGAATGTGGATTGCTGGTGGTGGGCCACAAGAAACCACCTACACTGCCTGGTGGTAAGTAAGACGCGCCTCCGCTAAGGCCCACCTAATATTTTATATTACATCAATTATTTTTAATCATCTCTGTGACATGGTGTACACAATTAAATCCTTTTTTTTATATATTTTTATATCTATGTATACAGGGTGTTGAGCAAAAAGGTAAAATATTTTAAGAAGATTTAGTACGTCTCAAAATTAGTTTAAAAATCTTAATAAACGCAAATGACCCATTTTTGAGATATTTGCAATACCTCATAATTTAACTTACCTGTAATTTAATTTAATTTTATCTATATTCACCTGAATAAAATAATAAAAATAGAAAAATATACAAAAAATGAAAATATCTCAGAAATGATTTATTTACGGACCCATATTTGTTAAGACTTTTCGACTTGTTTTTGAACATATTAATTCTCCTTAAAATATTTCAACATTCTGTATATACATAAGGATGACAAAATGTGCTAAGCAAAATAATATGGAAGCGTTGTGGGGATATAGACACACTCCAATTTTCTATCATGAAGTATTTTATACAGAATATAAATATATACAAAAACACGCGCAATTGCTTAATTACATTAATGCGACAAATATGAAAATATACAAAAATCTAAATTTCTAATCATATGTGTAGCACTTGAGGAATATTTATTTGTTCCGTGTAAAAATATAAAAAATATACAATGATTTGGTACAATTAGAATTTTTTTTATTTGAAGTGCGTTTAAATTAACTAACTACACATAGTAATTTTGTATCAGGGATTGGTTTTCATGCAGTATAAGGCAAACTAGAATAAAAGATAACTGCCAAATTAAAGAAAAATAATCATTTATTTGCATTTAACATAAATAATTGTGCTAATAAATCGCAGGTACTAAATAACATTATTTTTTGTAGGTACTAAATAACATTATGTACATTGGTTCATCATTGTAAATGTGTGCAAAGCATTTACAATAATGTCAAGACACTCTCGATAAAAAATCTTATCTTCTACATTGAGTGAATTATGTACAAGGATTTTTTTTTTCAATCTTAGGTATCAAGAAATTATTTGATTTCCGCCAATATATATATAGAGAATGTCGAAATCATCACAGTCCAATTGCAAAAGGCTTCACCTTCATACACGTCGTTTCGATCATAGATTTTTGCCTGATTTCTATCCTTACAACGTAACTTTTCTTTATGAATTTACCTGTTGGCTCCATATTAGCGACCTCTCCGCCAACTGGCAGTCCGCTGCCAATCGGGACGGCAGACTCTTCCACCTTTCCTCGTCCCGTTTCCGGTTCCTATCGAAGTCCCTGTCGACGTGTCCCTGAGAGAGAGGCGGCAAGATCTGCGTACGCTGCGCCAGCTTGTAGCTGTCCTGCCTCGGCACGTGATCGGCGCGTCTGCTGGTGCCGGTGCTCGGGATCGGGGTCGGACTGCCGCCGCCTCGGTGCCGATGATACAAGTTACGCTTCTGCTGCAGCATACGCTGCTGCACCAAGAGCTGCAACTGCGTGCCCGAATCGCCGCGCATCTTAAACTGCTGCTGATTATCGGGCGGTGTGGACGGTGGTCTGAGGTGGACTAGATCCAAGTGACCTCGAGCTTTCCCCGAATCTGAAAACGATCAGTAATTGCTGTCGTTAAACTGTACACCAGTTAAAGTCCTCGGAAAGTTACCCTAATAGCACAACATGTCCGAAAGATATTCAGAGGATGTCCAGAGGACATTTGAATATCCTCAGCATGTTCTCTGAACGTCTTCGGGATATGTGTACTGTTAGAGTACTTAAGGAACGCGACGCACCTTGAATGCTCCTCTGCTTGGACGGCCTGTCGCCGACGCCCTGCTGACAGAACAGTAATCTAGGTCCGCCGTCTGATGCTCTTCGTCCTTGAGAGACCCGGGACATTCTACCGGTGATGGGGGATGGACTCTTGGGCGGTGGTGGCGTGCAAGACGGTAGGCTGCTCGTAAAGCAATTCGTCCCCGTGTAATCTGGCGGGCAGCCAGAATCGAAGCTGGACTCGAAGAGCTCCGACGACGAGCTACCGCTGCCGCCCGCCATGAACAGGGTCGTACGACTGGGTGGATCAATAGGATCCATAAGCGGGTTATCAAAATGATGTTGATAGTCGCTTAATCTTCGATTGACTATCTGGCTGTCGATTCGTTGACTGATATCATGATCTAGGCCTAAACGGTGCTCTTCAAGTTTGATCTGCGCCTCGCGTAACTCGTCGCCGCTCGGACCTTCCTCCAAATCGCCTTCCGCGCTGCAACAACCTTCATCGGTTGACGAGCTCGTCGAGCTAAATCTCTTGCCTCCTCGGCCGGTGTCATCTCTTGCTCTGAAACAGGAAGAGTTTCGTCTAATTTGAAAGAAGTGCTTGTTTCATAGCGAATCACGATTGTATGAATGGTCGTTCTATGCAGCAGTTAAAAACTATTCACCATAGCATTCTCTCTTCATCATTTCATCTATAAATGATGTCCATTACGAGACAATAGTTTTTTTTATTGTATTAATTGATAAAAAATATTCTCCAATTATAGAGAAACTACTGTAGATGTTTCTTGTTTCTCTGTGTTATCATATATGAATTTTATTTTAGAAATATTTTAAAGTCAAATATTATATTTGCAAAGAGTTTTTAAATTATGTTTACGCGTTATATATAATTAATATGAAAAATATAAGAATAAATATTATGATATAAGCATATATAAAGCAAATAAAATATAATATAAGCATATATAAAGCAAATAATACATGTGCTTCCAGTGATAATAAATAAAAAGAAACAAATAAAATTTGTCAAATTAAGAAATAAAATCAAATTAATTAGAAAATTTAAAGATAAAGAAAAAGATAAAATGAAATGTGAAGTTACCAAAAATAAAGTGACAGCAATATGTGCTTCCAATCCAACCTGTCCTGACAAAATCTCCAATGCGTCACCCATCAATAAAGTTCAACGTCCCACTAAGCTATCGCTGTAAATAAAAATTGATTAGATTAAGAGAGGCCATATATCATTTTCATGATACATCTTCGACTGGTAGGATTGGAAGTTACAAGTCTCTCTAACATGAAAAAAGCATCAGTATATTTTAAAATATAATTAGATTTAATGTATAAAAGAAAAATTTATAGGTGCATATGATAATGAATATTTAAAATTAAATTAAATTTTTAAATTAAAAGAAAATATATGTACGATAATGTGATTAATGAAAGAATGTTTACCTTGATTTAAATTTATCTTCTTTTGTTCTTGCAACGTTAGACCAGCAAGTATTATTAATGGTACTGCTGACGCGATGTTGCTTCAATCTTTCTAGCAGTAAGAAATAGATAGCAGCGTGATGGTCATAGCTGCTGTTTCGTAAGGACTGTTGAAAGATTACATTTATATACTTATACAGTATAATTGAAAGTATATTTAAATAATGTCTATATACATATATTATATACAGGATGTTTCAGGAGAAATTTTAGAGAGGGGTTTCATCAAAAGAGAATCAATGTTCATCAAGAAACTCGTGTCTTTTGACATGTTTTAAGGAGCTATGTGGTTCTATGTTACTTGTAAAATAGGCAACTAGTCGTGCAATATTTATGTCTTTTGAATTTTTGAACAAGGATACAAGGATTTCTCAGCGAAAACGAATTTTCTTGATGAAATCTACCATTTCTCAAAGTTTGTTCCGAAACATCCTGTATATTATCTCTCTTTAATATATATATATATATATATTATTTAAAATTAATTATACAATTTACTAGAGATAAAAATAGACAAATATACTCTTGTATAATTTTGCATAAGAGAGACAGCAATAGAAATAGGAGAAAGTTTTCTTACCTCTCTAGTACGACTAATGTCTATTCCTAAGCTATGCATTAATCGAAGTATTTGCTCGTTTGGTTCCAGAATAGAGGACGACGGCCGTGTCACGATCACCGAGCAAATACTGTCCGCTGTTCCCGCCATCCAACGGTGCCTCTTAATTTGTGGAATGGTGTAACGTTTGGAAGGTTCCAGCACTAACATCTTGCGTATTAGGCTCTCGCAATCTTCAATTTAAACGAATTTCGTGAGGATATAACAGAATTATGAAGTGAGCAAATTTTATATTTTATATTTTATAAATAAGTACCTGTACTCATAAAGTAAGGAATTCTAAATCTGCCGCTCAACACGCGATCTCTCAATGATTGAAGAGTTGATCCGTCAAAGGGCAGTGCGCCACATACTAACACATACAACACAACACCCAGACTCTGCAAGAATGAGAGAATATTTTTATTTCAAATATATATTATATAATTAATTGTTATTAAATCTGTATTTTTTCTTTGCCGCAATTTCTTTCCATCACGGGAGACTCACCCACACGTCTATTTCAGGTCCGGCGTAGTGCTTTCCTCGGAAAACTTCGGGCGCGGCATAAGGCGGGCTGCCGCACCACGTGCTCAGGCGTTCCCCCGGGGCGAATCGGTTGCTGAAGCCGAAATCGGCGATCTTCACGTTCATCTGCGCGTCAAGAAGCAAGTTCTCCGCCTTCAGATCGCGATGTGCCACACCCGTCACGTGGCAGTACTCGACCGCGGAGAGGATCTGGGCGAACGTCGCACGTGCTCGGGGCTCTCCCATTCTTCCATATCGCGCTATGTAGTCGAATATCTCGCCTTTGCTCGCGTATTCGCACACCTGTAAAGAACGAAATGCGCTGTGATGTCTTCATTACACGAGGAAAACACAATTATTGTCAGTAGCAGCTTTCCCAGTAGCAAACTGACGTCATTCGACATCAAAATGACATTTAATGACGTTATTCGGCGTAAAAATGACATTTGATGACGTCATTCGATGTCAAAATGACGTTTGATAACGTCATTCGGCGTCAAAATGACGTTTGATAACGCCCTTCGGCGTCAAAATGCTGTTTGATGACGTCATTTGACGTTAGAATGACATACGGTTGCTACCTGGGTTGCATCATCCTTCTCACCATGTAAATCATGTTCTTCGTCTCCATGACCTGATATAGTTTAACGATATGCGGATGCTCCAGCTGCTTCATAATTTCGACCTCTCTATAAACTTTCTCTAGATTAGTAGGATCTAATTGCGTTTTGTCGATTATCTTGATAGCCACCTATTGGGAAGAAGAATGACATGTACCTTTTTTTATAGATAGTAGAATTATTGTTATAAATAGGAAACGCGGGCGCATACGTACCTCTGTCTTCGTGATTCGATGTCTGGCCAATTTTACAACGGCAAAGTTACCCTTGCCGATGGTTCCTTCGATATCGTAAAATCCTACGCGGATTTGCTTTTTACCCTGTGCAGGTCCGGTATCCATATTTAATCGTCCGGAGATTTCTCTTTTCAACTTGTAAACTTCTATAAATTAATTCTTCTTCCCGATGCTTTATCACTAATCTGCAAAAAAATCGGAGCACAATCTTTAAAGAAAAATATATTTTTTTGTCATTTTATTGCTGACATATCTCTAATATATGTACGCGTTTTCAAAACAAGCGCAATTTTATCTTTAATTATTTTAATCGTGAAAGAGATAAAATCGTGAAGATAAGAGCGATGAGCATTAATAGTAGAAAGAGAAAGGGGAAGAGAAAGTTATAAGATATAATATTTTAAAAACAGAGGAAAAAGTAGTCATTAATGTTATTTTTCATGATATTTATCCATTTTTCTCGAGCACACTTGTTTTTATTACCGCACGAAACTAATTAATTAATTTTTACACAATATCTCTTTTCCTGCTCTGCACTTACTTTTTTTTTTAACACGCCGTGCCTATGCAAGCGATTACGCACGCGCGAACGTCAATAAAAATTCATAAAGTTCCACTTCGAAAAGTCTAACGAGCACGATTTTAAAATCCGTAATAACTATCACCTTTATTGTCGCGCGCAAGTCTCCTTATATGCGTGCACAAATATTTTTTTGACTTCGTACCGCGTAAGTTGTAAGGTATCTCTTCCTCTCGCTCTCCCACAAGCGATATCGGCGAACGTCTAACACATGTTAATTACTTATCACGCATTCATCGCACCGACGCGGACCTCGCAAGGCTGATCCGGCATTAAAAACAGCGCGCGATACCCCGGAAGGACATCGCACCGCAGACGCAACAGAAGAAACAAACAAGATAGAGGAAGAACTGCAGAGGGAGAGGGTAGTAAAGGAAGGGGAAGAAAAAAGAAAGAGAGAGAGAGAGAGCGATGGACGTTCTCAAGGAGAGCCGAGAACCCACGTCAAGGATTCACCTCGTCAACCGGAGTACAAAGGCCCGGCCGCAACAAGTATATATACAGTAGAAATCCTCGACTGACGTCATAGATCGACAACGACCTCCTACTCTATCCAGAGAGAGCGGAGTCACCGCCGGAGAAGATCGATCGACGTCGATACTCCTAGGATAGGAGCAGAGAACCCCCGCGAGGTCGAACATAATCGGACGATCTCACTGGGAGCTTAAATTCGGACGAATCTAACGAAGAGGGACCACCCCTAATAGCACAACATATTCGAAATATATTCCGAGGATATCAAGAGAACATTCTCAGAACATTCTTCGGGATGTATGTGCTGTTAGGGACCCTGAAGAGGTGGTGACTATTTTATTTTTTTATTTATTTTTTTTTTTTCATCGTTTTATCAACTTACCTTCCCCTGGCTCGAGGAAGTCGCCCGGTGGAGAAGGCGTTTCACGGAACTCTCGAGGACGTCATCACGCTGTGGGGTGCCATCATCGGCGCCGGACGTCATAACGCGCGCGCGCGCGCGCACCTGGCAGAGATATATATCCGGTCTCTCTCTCCAGCAGCAGCTCCTCGCGAAAATCAGCGGAACCAAGCCGAGCGGAGTGGATGAGAGAACCTGGCGCGCGCGCGAGAGAGAGCTCCGCACGGCGCGGCGGTTCGATACCGACTGACCGCCGGCCATGTTACCACCCCCCCATCGAGCCGCGGTGTCGGCGCCCTCGCCGCCCCCTCGTGCACCGTCACCCCGGCCATTCTTGGCGAACCACCACCCTTTCACTCCCCTTCTCCTAATCTACGTCGGTGCGCCCGACACCCACCACTATAGCGATTACTATCGATAGGTGGCGCGCGCCGTTATCTTGGACAATTGACGTCACGCACGTACATACGCGCTCGTCTCGACGTTAATTGTTCATCCGTGTATAATTGTACGGCAAGTAAGCACGTGACCACGAGTCACCCAGTCCTCGTGTGTCCAGGGTGTAGATGTACGTATGCGTGGTCTACTCGAAAATGGCGTTTTGGTTCGATAAAATATATATTGTATATATGCAGAAAAACGTCATCCGCGCTCTCCTTACATGATGACCTAAGGCCTTTGTATATATACATGAAGATAGCGGATTATATAATACACAATGCATGTTACCGGCTCACTATGTATAGTTGGTATTGAATATTGAGAAATTAGGTACGTATGCGCGTACTTTATACGTATCTCTAAAATAACTTGATTATGCTGGTATGTGTGGGTGTCGGATTATAATCGTTGGTATGACGTCCGCGCGAATTTCTGGATCGTTTGCGCTGAAAAATGCAAGACATACAGACACTTTCTCGAACGACTCTAATGAGACGCGATATGTATTCCGGAGTAAAATTTCCCGCGCTAATCTCGGCTCTTCTTGGCCTTGTCGTTCTGCTCTCTCGCGAGTGCGATTTCTCTCTCCTCTTGTTTATCTCGTCTCTTTTAAGGGGTCCTCGCACATGATCGATGATTATTACTGCTACTCTCGGCAATATTGATAGTATGAGAGTCGCGTGTGTGTATATAGTATAAATAGACTTCGCTTTTAGAACTCTCATTAAGACTTGGAAAAAAGTTCCACGTTATTACATGGTACATAATTCAATGTTAGTCTAATTGACAGACGGAAATATTATGTGAATATAAAGGCGGTTTGTCAATTTTCGAAGATAAATGTATATATTGTTTACTCTGATCTTACTACTTGCATGCAAAATAGCTGATTGCGAATTGATATTATTTATTTTTATTATTGTTGCTTTATTTATTAATTCTATAATAATAATTTATGAATAATACTGAAAAAATTGTTAACTTGACAAAATCGTTTAATCAAAAATCAATTGATACAAAGTTTCGCTCGTATATTGTGAATACAACTAGTAATAGATAAAAAGGTCAACTTATCGAGCAATTATTAGAGTTGTTCTGTCAAATAAAATTTATTCAATGTTTTATGTTTAGTTTATACGTGGAATAAATTTTATTTGACTCTAATAATTGCTCGATAAGTTGGCCTTTTTATCTATTACTAATTTAATCAAATTACTCTTTTGTTAATTGAACATATGCGTATTAGTATTTAAGTCAAATATATACATATTTTATATATATTAGATTTAATATGTAAAATTTAATTTCAATCTGTTCAATTAACAAAATAGTATTTAGTTGAAATATTTCGTTAACAACCTTTTTTGTTGAATATAAAGGCAGTTTGTCAATTTTCTAAAATAAACATAAATATTGCTAGTTTATTCTTATCTACTTGCATGCAAAACAGCTGATTGCGAATTGATTCAGCTTTTTATTATAACATCATAGAATTGGATTTTTTATATTATTTCAATGTTATTTATTTTTATTTTATTTTCATTTATGTTTAATTTAAATATGTTCAATTAACAAAATAATACTTAGAGTTGAATGATTTAGTTAACAATTTTTTCGGTGTACAAATATGGAGCAAAAAGCATTGCGTTCTTTTTTTTTTTATATTTAATATATAATCTTTAAAAGTTTTAATTTTTAAAAATTTTTAATGTATAAATGCAATTATCAATTTCTTAACGAATCAAATTTTTCTTCGATTAAATCACGGTCGTATCTTTTACTTAGCAAAAAATATTAATAAAAAAACGCTCGATCTTAGATCGATCGAGGAATCTGTCATTAATAAAATAAAATCGAAGACACTGGAGCGTACACGTTATAGTCGCATGATAGTCTTACTCGGATTGATATGAGCGTAATAAATCCATATTGATGACGCGCTTTGAGAATAACAGTGATTTACGTGGGAGGAGGGGGGAGGGGCTTTTATTATTCTCTCTATTCCTATCTCAGGCAGGGTATTTTGGGTTGAGGAAAACGAGAATGTGATTCGATCGGCATTATATGACGTTCGTGCACACTAAAAAAAAATCAACTTGATTAAACCTTTTACTTAAATATTATTTTGTTAATTGGACATATAAAAATATTAAAATTAAATCTAATAAAACGTACAATTGACTTAAATACTATACTGAAAAAAAAAAAAATTATTGAGTTTGAATAATTATTTATTTCAATACTGTCTTTTATAAATCATTTATTTAATATAAGAAAATCCTTTTCGAAACAGATAAATATTTATTTATTTCAAATAAATGATTTATTAGACAGTATTGAAATAAATATTATTTTAATAATTGTTTTTCGGCGTAATGTATTGTTAAATAATATATTCAATAAATAAATTAGTAATTTAAATTTGAAAGGTTTAGTCAGTTAACAATTTTTTTCCTTGTATGTCGGGGTTCGATGAAACCGAAATAGAAACTATAATAATGAAAATATATATAAGTATCATAGTATCATCAGAGCGAAACGGGGCACAGTTGTTGAAATGCGCGTTGCCGCATTATCTTCGCCAATTTTTCCTTTCCACTTTCATAACGTCGATTTCTCGCCGGCGAGAACATACGTTTTCATATATATATATATATATATATATTCCTGTAAAAGTAAGCGAGTTTGTGTTTAAAGTTTCTCTCCGTATCTCTCTACAACGAACCGTTTATTGGATTTCGCAACAAATCTTACGAAAAGTCCAAATTTTAATAAAAGTAAAAGTTCCTTAAACGTCAAATTTTTTATACGAGAGAATCGATATTTATACTTAGAATGCAGATGCGTTTTAATAGTTTAGCTTCTTAGAGCAATTTAGCTTCATTTTCGCATGAATATTTATTGAGATATAAAACAGCGAAAATATTCAATTTAATTTTTAATTAAACGCAATATATATATATATATATAGGAGTAGGTACACAAATTACAGGCAAGATGTGAAGATTGATTTAAGTAAGAGGAGATTTAAAGAGGAAGGAGTAATCGAGATTGGAGATTTATATAAAGAAAATTATGCACATATAGATGCACGTATAATTCAGTTTCTTTCATCAATCTCTGAATTGCGTTTCGTGGAAGATCGATAATTAACAATAATGATTGCGGTTTTCTTTGTTCGGACTTAATTGACGTCAATGGACTTTAGTCGATAATAATTTCAAGTATCGAGCGCCCAATAAACGTTCGCTCTTTGAACACGTATCTACATGCATGCAGTTTGAAACAAAAAAAAATTATTATTCCGTAATGGATGTGGAGACTATAATGTCACTCTTCCTCAAAGATGACAATTAACGTGTTCGGGACAAAAGATCGCATTGGAGTATTGTCCGTACGTCATTAAAGCGGCACGTCTCTCGTGTTAAGTAGATGCGACCGTGAATTAGTCAGACTTTTAACTCGGAAAATCGATAGCTTCACACAATCTGTACGTCACCTGTCAAGAGAGACTGCACGTTATGTAAATGTAACATCCTGTGGAGAATAATAACAATACATTATAAAAATGTATGGGTGTCCGCAGAGAGAGATAAGAGAGATATTTGCCCCTCTTGGAATCAGTAAAAAAAATAAGCATTTATTGCTTTATTTGTACATTTAATATAAAACAATGAAAATAACAAAAAATTGAATTTAAAAAAATTAATAAAAAACAAAAAGTGAGAAATACACTGAAAAAAAGAATTTATTGAATTCGAATAAGTATATTTATTTCAATACTGCCTAATGAATTATTTATTTGAAGCTAATAATATTGATTTGATATGAAAAATATTTATTTGACATAAGAAAATTTTTGGAGAATAATAACAATACATTATAAAAATGTATGGGTGTCCGCAGAGAGGGATAAGAGAGATATTTGCCTCTCTTGGAATCAGTAAAAAAAATTAAGCATTTATTGCTTTATTTGTACATTTAATATAGAACAATGAAAATAACAAAAAATTGAATTTAAAAAAATTAATAAAAAACAAAAAGTGAGAAATACACTGAAAAAAAGAATTTATTGAATTCGAATAAGTATATTTATTTCAATACTGCCTAATGAATTATTTATTTGAAGCTAATAATATTGATTTGATATGAAAAATATTTATTTGATATAAGAAAATTTTTGGAGAATAATCACAATACATTATAAAAATGTATGGGTGTCCGCAGAGAGGGATAAGAGAGATATTTGCCTCTCTTGGAATCAGTAAAAAAATTAAGCATTTATTGCTTTATTTGTACATTTAATATAAAACAATGAAAATAACAAAAAATTGAATTTAAAAAAATTAATAAAAAACAAAAAGTGAGAAATACACTGAAAAAAAGAATTTATTGAATTCGAATAAGTATATTTATTTCAATACTGCCTAATGAATTATTTATTTGAAGCTAATAATATTGATTTGATATGAAAAATATTTATTTGATATAAGAAAATTTTTGGAGAATAATAACAATACATTATAAAAATGTATGGGTGTCCGCAGAGAGGGATAAGAGAGATATTTGCCCTCTTGGAATCAGTAAAAAAAATTAAGCATTTATTGCTTTATTTGTACATTTAATATAGAACAATGAAAATAACAAAAAATTGAATTTAAAAAAATTAATAAAAAACAAAAATGAGAAATACACTGAAAAAAAGAATTTATTGAATTCGAATAAGTATATTTATTTCAATACTGCCTAATGAATTATTTATTTGAAGCTAATAATATTGATTTGATATGAAAAATATTTATTTGACATAAGAAAATTTTTGGAGAAT